TGCTTTCTTTATCTTCATTGCCACACTTTCCTTGTGCTGTGCACATCATTTTTATTCCTTTGCATTCCATAACAGACCTACTTAGAGTACAGAGGCAGCTAGTTCTATACTGTAATGCACTAAGAGATGCTGTGGGATAGTGATAAAGTCTTTGACAACAAACAACTGAATTGATGTGATAGTTTGTAATGTTTGTGTACATTGTATATGCTGATAATTTTTAAACTGTATTTAATGTGGTTTTCAATATGAATAAAAAAGATTTACATTAACAGAGCAAATGATGAAATACAAACTTTGTTTCTTTTTGTAAAAAGCAAATCCAAGCTTAAAGAATATATGGTCAAACCCACCATATAATTAAATACCATTTAATGCACATGTAAAACATGTGGGGTCCCATAAACTGTAATTTGTCCCTCACAGAGCTATAATTCCCAGCACCCTTAACAAATAACAGTTACCACAATTATTATTATTATTATTATTATTATTATTATTATTGAGCCATGTGCATTGAATGACTTTTAAATGTATGGTGTGGATGTGGGCTATTCATTGCAGCCGTACACATTCAGAACTGGGGGAGTGGGAAGAGGGGGAGGGGCAAAGGGAAAAGTAAGAGCAACTATTAGAGCATAGAGTCCTATTGCAGATATTAATATTGTGCAACATGAAGCAACTGGATGCACAAAAGCTGACTCCTTCTGGAATAAAATTGTCCAGACCATAAATATGATTCAGAACTTCACTAACCAGAACATCATCAAAACAGGTACAAAACAATCAGTGATACACCCAGTGATACACTTATGCTGTATAAAGCATAAGCATAGCCAGGCATAGGTTCTTCTTTTTAAATGAATAACATAATTATGTTCCAGGCTAAAATCAAAGCTCTGTCTGTTCCACAGCTTACATTAGCAGCTCCTGGAGAGAATAATTTTCACATCCTTTCCTCATTGTGACTGGAGAATCAAAAGACCAAAAGGGGCAATTCCCTTTAAAATGGAAAATTTGCAATTGAATACCTTAATCATGTGATCTAAGGTTAAACATCCATGTGAAGGCTAGCAGACAACATTAACAGTTAATTATCAACTTAGCTGGAAGCTCAGAGACCTCTTTCTAGCTTAGAATACTCTAATGAAATTTTCCAGTGTTGAACCCTTAGCAACATACACAAAGTCATTCTCCATTTCAGTGTGCAATTAAACAATTATACTTAAGCCTAATTCCGGGAGAATTTGTTGAGACCCAGGAGGGTTTTTTGTTGTTGTTTTTTACCTTCAACAGAGGAGTTAATAAACAGAAAGGAAAACCATATGGCCTCAAATGAGTCTGGTTTAGGAAGCTCCTTAAATAGCCAAACATTCTGGGTTAACTTTTCAGAGAGTGCAATCTGTCAAATGTGATTATGATAGCTGCTGAAGGAGAAATTTTATGGGGGGGGGGGAATCCAGTAATAAAAAGTTTGCAATGGTCCATGTTTTGTGAGTTGTGATGAAAGATCAGTTATGCTGAAACAAACATCCTTGAATAGGTGTGATTTTTCATTATTATTATCATCATCATTAGTATACATCCCACTCTTACACTAAAAGTCCACAGAACCATGTGCAACATAATTACAAAATAAAAAATTCAAATGCAACAACCAATTTTGAAAAGCAATAACAAAGAACATAACACGATCAACGCTTACAAATGAAACAAAGCAAGAGCTTAACAGCAGCCAGGGTAAATGGTATTACACATTAAAATTGGGAGCAATAATATGAGGTGCTAACACATTAAAAGCCCATTGAAATTCAAGTGTTGCCTAGCAAAAGAAATAAAAAGAGGGACTCTGACAAATCTTGATTGGGGGAACATTTCATGAGGATCAGCACTACCATGTAAACGCCCCTATTTCTCATGTCAGGTGCCAAGAGCAAGTGTTAACTTCTGAAGCCTAATTTGAAACGTAGCTCTTATAATGATAACTTTAGTGAATGCTGACACACTATTTGGGCATACATTTCCATGTTGTGAAAAGCTGCCTTAGCGTTTTTGTGCTTCTGTAATAAGACACAATGAGGTGACTTTCTTGGTGTGTAGAATGTCCTTCTTCTGCATTGCTCCTTTCTCCTGTCCCACAGCTAAAATCCAAATGGGACACCCTGCCCAGCTGTTTTTAACCAAAAACAAACCAAAAACAAACAAAACATTGGGAGATATCACCACTGACTTGCCATGTAACAAGTAATTTCACCCTGATATGGCACGGCATCTTTGCCACAAGTATCTGTGATTAAAGTCACAAACATAAATTTGGCCTTGTTTTATGAGGCAACTGGCAAAGGGCTTTCCTGGTGATTGCTTGACGCAGTTTTGTGCTGATCCAAGCTCTTGAATGCATCTTGTACTGTAAAGTACAAGAGCTAAATTTCCTTGCACACTACATTCTATACAGTTCTTATGTTACAAAATTTTGCTAAAAGCTATCAGGCTGCCCGCCGGTGTCAATTGCCATAGCTTTCTCCTTCCTCTTTTCTCATGGCCAGTATTGCACCATTGAGTGAACTTTGGTCACTATGATCTTTTCCAAGAAAACTAAATTGAAATAATAGATGAAGGAGTAAAGACCCAAAGTGTATCAGAAATAACTAATTTCTGCAGTCCACTGAAAGGTCAAGCAGTTCCTTGTCATACTCCACATCTAGCAACAAGATTCTACTGTGGTATTTTCCAAAGAGGTAGCCATGGTAGTCTGTTGAAGAAAAAGCAGGGGGGGAAATCTTGTATAACCTTAAAATAAAACAATTGTGCACCTGACATAGGGAATGCATCTGATGAAGCAGACTCGAGCTCACAAAGCTTATGCCATAGTAAATTTATTTCTATGCCACAAGGATCTTTGTTGTTTTTAAAATATTTGTGGTTGTCCATGTGTTTTGTGCTACTAGTAAAACCTTGTATATGTACCACATTTGCAACTTCATTTTATTTAGGAAACTACAATGAGCATGTCACTGAAATCCAATAAAATATAAAGGAAGAAAAATGTACTGCACAACTGATCGCCTATAGCAGGGGTCGGCAACCTAAGGCTCATGCGCCAGTAGTGGCCCACAAGGCTTGTCTAACCGGCCCATGCGCATGGGCACTCCTCCGACCTGGATGTGCACCGGAAATAGCATGTGCGTATGCATACGGGACAGGGAAGTGCATGCACACACGCTATTTCTGGTGCACTTCTGGGTCGGAGGAGCACCAGAAATAGTGTGTGCACACGTGCACAGGCACTCCTCCAACCTGGAAGAATGTGCATGCCCACACGCTCTCGCCCATTCTCCAACAGACGGAGCGTTGACCAGCCCATCCTCCAATTAAGGTTGCCAACCTCTGGTCTATAGCTTTGGATATCCTCTTCTCAAACTGTTATGTGATCCATGATCCTAAATTCATTAAAAGTTCATGTGATGGGTGGGACAAAATGAAACTCTCCCCAAAGAACTATAAGGGGAATAAATTTCTCCAATTTGGGCGGTAGATGCTTACCTTAGGAAGAAGCCAATGACTTTCCATTTTTATTGCTTTAGTAACTTAAAACAAAAACAAAACAAAAAAACCAACCATGCCACTTACTGTGTTGCAAGACTCCCCCAACCCCAGCTTGCTATGAGCTACACTTCCTGGAATGCCTTGAAAGCAATGCCACATCATAGTATCATAAAACTGTAGAGTTGGAAGTGACACGAAGGGTCAAATAATCTAACCATCTGCAAACCCTCCTCCCACCCCCACAGGTTGCATTGCATCAATCCCAATCTGTTCCATAGCCAGCTGATGTAGTTTGGGCTCATTTCATAGCTTCCCATGGACCACACTTCTGGAAGGTAAGTGGAAATTGCCTTCCCAACATATTGAAAGAATTTCTCTTTCCCCATGCCAGAAAGTAGCAGAAAATCTGTCTTTGTTGTCACAGTGGGAGAATAATTTCAGGAAATTGGAAATAGAGATAGTAATGATAGTAATAATACTACTAATGTTCCAGGGCAGGTTACAACAATTACAGGTAAAAGGGTTAAGGTAAAGGACCCCTGGACAGTTATATCCAGTCAAAGGTGACTATGGGGTGCGGCGCTCATCTCGCTTTCAGGCCGAGGGAGCCAGCATTTGTCCACAGACAGCTTTCCAGGTCATGTGGTCAGCATGACTAAACTGCTTCTGGTGCAACAGAACACCGTGATGGAAGTCAGAGCGCATGGAAATGCCATTTACCTTCCCGCTGCAGCGGTACCTATTTATTTACTTGCACTGGTGTGCTTTTGAACAATTGCAACACAATATTGAAAACAGCTTATTACAACGTAGAACCATAAAAATAAGATGGGCCCTAAAAATATACATTACAAGTGTCAAAAGCTGGCAGAAATTAGGGTGCAGAGCTCTATGAAAAGAATAAGGTAGGCATGATCCACTCAGAGACTGCGAACAGGAAGGATTATTTAAGAATTTATAGAAAAATATAATTAAGGAAGCAAAAGGGGAGTGCTGCAGAACCAGTCCTTTACTTCATATTACTTTGTAGCTCCTGTAAAATGATCAATTGTTTTCTTAACATCTAAGTGGAGGGCATGTCTATTTCATTTGCAAAACACTCACACAGAAAATGACTCTTCTCTTTAACACATCTGGTACTTGCCAGTAAGTCCTTTTTCCAGAAGAGAGAAAGAAAGAAAAAGAAAGAAAATCCGTTTTCATTTTGCTCACTACATCCGTCTTGCTTCATTTCAATGCTGGGTTCAGCCTGAACTTCAGAGAAGCATTATGATGTTTTGCACAAAAGAGTCTATGTTTTACTAGGAACACCCAAAATAGCAAGCAGTAAGCAGTGACATACTGTGAGTTTTCAAATCCCAAAGCATAAGTGCCTTTTACTGGCAGGAAATTGTTTCTTCCCAAAGCTTTCAGAAGGCTCTGAAGTCAAAAGAACTTCTCCTTTCTTTCATCAGACGTTTAAGCCAATTTTTTTGTATTATTCATTCTTCAAAAGCTAGGAGGGCCTGGTGCCGCACAGGTAAGTTTTCAATACCTTTTTTAAAAAAAGAAATATTTGTACTGGTTTTAATAAAAGAATAAAATCTAAAACGACTTCAAATGGGAGTTTTGGAAAGACCAATACTCTAGTTCTGAATACGTTTACTTGGAATTGACATCTTTTGATTGAGGTGGACACTTTACACTTTAAGAAATGTGTTTTGGATCCGAGTGCAAATCTTCTTGTTGTTTACAACAATAGTAGCTTACAATCATACTGCTATTTATTTTCTCTCTGAGCAACCTCGTAAACTCGGTTAGGCAGAGAAGTAGTGCTTTGTCTAAAGGGATGCATCAAGATGGAGCCAGGTGTGATAAAGTTGTACATATATTTCTTTGGCCTCATTGTCATTTGAAATCTATGAAGTGTTTTTAGGTTTTGGAAGCAGCATAAAAAAATCTGCGAAACATCTTTGAAGCAAATACAGTAATAGGATTAAAAAAAACCACATTTCATGATCATATCATCATTATCACAGCAATAAAACAAATGGTTTCTTTCCTGCTGAGGAGAGATAGAGAATAGGACTTTTCTGTAATTTCTCCAATATAAATATATTATTTTGTGCAAACTTGTTCAGATATCATTTTAAAAGTTTGGTAAATGTTGAATATGACACCAAAAATGCAATCCTAAGTATATTTAGTCCAAAGAAGTCCAACTGATTTCAGTGGGAATTAGTTTCTAGTCACTGAGTGTGTGTTTAGGATTAGTTTTCCTTAACTAAAGCTGCAGTCCTAAGCAAATCAACTCAGAAGTCCATTCCATTAAGCTGTTTCATGAGGGAAAAGTTTCTACTTTTATGCCAAAGATTTGTTAAAGCAGTTATCTATCTCTGCTCATAGAAGGCACCAAAATTTGATCAAAAAATACATGGAAACAATAGATTTGTTTTCATTCGGAGTATCTTCATTTGATTTTGTGGTACTGCAGAGCGTACAGTTCCCTGATTCCTTCAGAAACAGTTTCATAACTAATTTGTTCCATAATTCAGCACCTTACTACAACAGCGGTCAACCTCAGCAATTCATATTTCTCTTTCATTTTGGTTTATAGTTTCAAACAACGTGCTCAGATAGCCAAGACCTCTGGGACAAATTGCTATGAGTTTATTGAACTGCAGATTTGAAATTGTAGTATGCCATGAAAATATTACCACTAACACTTTCCTTTGGGAAAGAACTATTGAAAATGCTACCCAAATTAAAGCTGCAGGGATAGTTCTGGATTTATTTATATGCAAAAGTTTGGTATTTTGCATGGGAGGAGGCAGAAATGTCACAGGAGAAAAAGTTCTATGTGTGTACACAATGACTGGAAGTCTATAAATTAATGTAAATATGGCTTGCTCTAGAGTAAAGAAAAATATGCATCTTGGAATATTTTTTTGATGAAAATAAATTTTTGATCATGCTGAATATATTGTTCAGGGTTTTTTTTTAAAAAAATCATCTACAGCATTATAATTCACAGGTTCAAAATGTTTTGCTTATGAGCAAAGAACCTGTTTTAATAATTTAATTTTTAAAAATTGTGATGGGAAAACTGCAGCTATAGTTACTCAGAAGTTTGAAGTTCATTGTATATTTTAAATGGTTTAACAAGGAGCAGTTGTTGTTTTCAAATATGCCTTTTACTGTCTTTTCTTGAACTTGTAGATAAATTGAATAGACTGAGAAGTTCAAGAAAAGACTAACCTTATACTGAAGACAAGTGGAACATTAAAACCTTGAAGACAAAGACATAATTCAGCCAAAGTTCAGTGTGTTCCATTTATTTCAATGAGGGAGAGAACTAAGCAAGTGGTCATTTTGATGGATTTTAGTTAACCCAAATAGCACAAATAACTGAAACTCTTCAAAATAAGAGGCAGGAAGACACTGTGAATGGAGTTAAAGGCCAAAATTCAGCTTAACCCTGGCCATACAAACAGAATGTTTCACCCTAAAATGCTAGCTCTTGACTCTACACCCTCACACAAATAGTTTTCCTTTAAATTTTGAAAGATGAAGGGTTTTTATTTTATCTCTTTGACACTGTGAGATTATTTCAGCTACAGTATGTTTTTAGGTAGGTTGAAAATAGATTCCTGTTTCTCAAGGTGTCTAAAGCGGAAGAAATGGTCATAGCTCCATCAAACAAAATTACTTTTATGTTGAGAAAGATGAAAACACCAGCAGTTAAAAAACCAACAACTTTTCCTCTCTTGAAACTTCTTTTCTGTTTGAAAACTCTTCTACATTTTAAGGCATGGTGGATGCTGTGTTTTATTTTAAAAAAAATACTGTCAATTTCTGTATTTAAACACTTCAAGTAAAGCATACAATATTCGTACCGTTTGAGAGAACTGATTTGGAGCTGAATTGTGTCCTAATTTTACCAATGCTGATGAAAGAGAGAAAGAAAAGAACTGTAGCTCTTGTGTGTCTCTGAAGACTAGTTCACACATTCATGAACATAGCTTGTTTTTCTTATCACTTGAATGCTCAGTTATTGAAGCAGGTTCACATATGCATGTTTGCTTCTTAATTACTACAACATCGCATATTGACATGCCCAAATACCTCTATTCACAATGCACATCGATCAAGGGAGGAAAAGCTCTGTATTGCTTGCATATTTTATTATATCTGTCCATAGCTCCCACATATGTAGCTGTATGAGAGGGAGACATTGATAAATGTTCAAATTATCATGCATAAACTGAGAGCAGAACCTAACATTATTTCGGTAATCTTGGATCCCTAGCTCCTGAACAGGAATTATGAATGGCACACTGCAAATATAAAGCCAAAGACAGAATAATATTGCTTCACATAATGCTGAATGCAGAGTCTTACAATGGCGTCAGTTCTCACAATCAGCCACACACCATCAATCCGGTATATAGCAATGAAGTGTCAAGAAATTAAGCTGTTGTATACAAGGCTACCAAATCTTGCTGGCCATAAATGAATTTATGGACCTATATGTGTGAACTAGCTCAAAATGATCAGATGTCAGTGTAAGAATATTCCATTGTACTTCTCTTGCATTTACCAGACAAATGAGGAAGGAGTGAAAATGCACATATTGGCCACACCCTTAAGCACAAATAGGCCTTCCTGCTGCATCCATTGCTGCTGTTGTCATCCATCTGTCTCAGTGGACAATGGAAGAGTGTGCTTTTAGGGTAAAGTCAAACTGCTGGTGAGTTACAGCAGCTGCTGTGGCTGTAGAGACTGATATGGGGGAGACATGTTTTATTGCAGGCGGGGCAGATGAAGGTGTCTGATTTTGCTGCTATAGGTGTGCCATGGTGTTTCTTCTCTCTGTGCTTCTCCCAGCAGTCATCCCTCCTCTTCTCATTGCTGTTGATACATGACCTGACTGTCAGTCTCCAGGCACTGTGATCATCCGCAAGGAATTCCCACATGGCAATGATAATGTTGTCAGCATTCATTTCACATAGACAGCTTTGTGATGCAGAGAGCTGGTTTGTCAATGGGCCTGGTGCCTGAAACCAGCTCCCTGGAGGGCACATGCTGGGAATGTGCACTTGGGAAAGTACATCTTTGTTTTGAGACCCTGTCCTGCCATGTTTGACATGGCCATTCATTGACAGCCATCCCTTCAGCTGAAGTGTAAAGGGCTCCTATATATGTCCTGTACAGATGTAGATGTGCAGGCATTTACTATACCAATGGTAGCTGTGTTAGAGGAGGCTTCTGAGTGTACATCTGTACTCTTCACTCTTCCACAGGGCATGTGGCCAGGATATGGCATTGGGGACAAACATGTGACCAGGCGGAGTATTGTGGGCAGGCATTCTGCATCAGCCACACATGTATGCAATGCCTTTTCAGGCATCAAATGATCAATGTGTTTGTATGAATCAGTCCTCAGACAAGACATTTTTACATTCTTTCCGTTGGCTACAGGTAGTAATGTCTTAAATTAGGGCCAATCCACAAGGGCACAGAGTGTATGACTGGTTTATTTTCTTTGTTTAGCTGTCTTTCTAAATTCACTTTAGCTACAGAGTAGTGAGTGAGTTGCTATCTGGATTATGATGGCTTTGCCATCAGTCAACCAGTTTTTTGAGAGTTCCCTGTGTCATGCCTAATTAGAAGAAGTCCTTACATAACCTGTTTGCTGTCCTAACCCCTTTGCTTAATTCCATACATTGATATACTAAAGGCCAACATGGAGCTTTTGCTGGAAAGCAAGAAGTGCAAGCAAACACATCTTTGATAGCTTACTCTGTGTGATAGATAAGGAATCTAGGTATGAATCTGAGTTGTGAGATTAACAGTGTAATCCAAATTTAAGATCTGCTTCAGTGAGAAAGTTTGGAATAGGCAGATCTTGGTCTGTCCTGGCTCAAGTCATATTGGCTGAACTGGAGCTATGCTGGTGGAACTTAAGCTGACAGAATTTATGCCATTGTAAATTCCCTAATGTTATGCATTAGCAAGGTTTTTGTGCCAAGTGCTCTTCAGCTGACACTATTGCTGCTGCCACTGAGTTAGAGAAAGCCATCTTGTAATTAAATCAGATAGATGATACTCCTCAAGCAGAGAATAGCTGATAAAATTATGTGGAAAACCCAACAAGACTTAGAATAACAGCATCAGAAAACAAACCAAAAACTGACCAATGCTGTTGTACAGGAAGCAAAAATCATACTCATTTTTTAAAAAAATGATATTTATTAAGAGTTTTAAAGTTACAAAAAAAAAAAACAGAGAAGAAAAAGAAAAAGAAAAAACAAAAGAAAAACAAACCACAATCCAGCAATACAAATTGATAAAAATCAAAATCAAAAAATAAGAACAAAGCATGTAACAGAACACAATCAAAAAACAAAAATAAGCCACAAAAAATTAAAAACAAATCCAATATTCTCATATCCTTGACTGTCATTACCTTCTTTCTTTGACCTCCTCACTCCTCCCTTTTTTTGTATCCTAGTTATTAATAGTCACAGCAAATCCTTTCCATTTTTCATAATATTCTGTCATTACATTGCCTTAATCTATTTTAACCTTATCTTACTATAAAAGACCTTAAGACTTAAAACTTAGATCTTATTTATACCAATTTCTCATAACCATAACATATTCTTACATAATTCTTTTAACATTTTTGCTAAAGCCAAATAATTTCGTTCCAACATTTTTATAACATTCATCAATTTTATAAAACAACCCTAATAAAAAAATTTTCTTCCAATCTTCATCCAGCGTCTCTTCCTCCTGGTCCCGGGTTTTGTCAGTCCTTTCTATCCCATCAATCTAGTTCATTAACCTGGTAATCCTATGTCCGAGGCCCTTAAATCTCTTCCATGTCCCTTCCGCAGTTCTTCTTCATATTTATACCTGTACTTTACTTTATCTCCTGCTCCTTTCACTCGTGGAAACTCCAACTTGACAGTGTTTTTGACCCTTCTCGACAAATCAGCCCCTTTTCCATAGTCCACACTAGACTCCATGTGGTATTTAAAAACATGTTTCAAGATCCCTCCAGAATTAAGAGTCCCCACAACCCCAAACATCTCACGGCCCATTGCCAGACTTGGAGAGTCAAAACATCCCTGCATGGGGGGGGGGTCTATCCAACCCCCCATTTCCAAACCAAACAAAACTCTATCTCTCCAAGCCTGGCTTTTTCCAAGTTCATTTTTCAAATCCAACAACTCATGTTCCTGCTGGGCCACAGCTCCCTCCATCTCTGGCACCCGGGTTCAACAACATCCTCTTCCCTCATCTGATCTGTCAGAGCACACTCCTGATTTAATTCCTGGGTGGGCTCTATATAGTTACCCACTACCTGTCCAAAATTTCCAATCGCTGCAGTCCGTCTTCTCATGTAGCTGTTCCAGTAGGGCACTTGTTTTGCAGAAGGCACGCATCAGAGCTTCTGAATACATTGTTCTGCAAGGTCAGAAGTCTATTCCCACGATCGTAATCTGCTGCAGCTGCAGAGCTCCCCGATTCAGATTTAGTAACAGTTTCACAGACTCCCTCTAGGGGAAGAACTTCTATTTGTTTGCCATGTCTTTGCTTTAATCTAGTTTGCCATGTCTTTGCTTTAATCTATCTACAAGAAACGGAAGGCTGACTTCCTGTTTAGACCTTCCCATTTCAGTGCCAAATTGAGATGAATTTCTTAGTCCAATTTTCCTTTCTACTCGCAGGTCATTATTCAAAGTCCAATTGTCCGAAATTAAAGTACTCACGGGTAATTGTTTTAAAAGCCAAATTGTCCCAGGAAAAAGGCAGCGCTCTCCGGCAACTGCTGTGCGGCTTCGCTCCACGGAAGAAGCAGTTGACTCTCAGCACCGTGCCACTTCCCCCTCTTCGCTCCGGAGCCCGTGAATGGGTTCCTTTACGGGTTGGGGGGGCGCTAAAGGTGCCCGCCGAGTCCCATGGTCACAGGCTTCATCCGCCTGTGATTTTTGAACGGGTCCCCGCTCGCCGTAGCGGGAAAGACCCGCTTCCGTGGAGCTGGTCCCTCCAGATCAGAGGGAGTCCGCCATTACCGATGGCACCACCCCGGAAGTCCTTCCAACTCTACAATTCTATGATTCTTTGACTGTTCCTGTTGCTAGTGGTGTGAGGGTAGAATAGAGAATACTGCTGTTAAATGTAAGTTCTAAATTTATTTAATGGTGGAAAACATATATCATAGTATTGCTTTATTATGTAATTTGAATTTTAAAATAAGTTTAAAAATGAATTTTCACATGGTTAAAAGTACTTGTTTGAATTCCTTCCCTACCAGTGAAAATTCCTTTTAAAAAGCACTGAAAGTGGTGGCAAACAGGATCCTATACTTCTGTGGTGCCCTACACAATTTCCAGATTTCTGTGCCATACTAACTCCTCTGTGCCATAGTAACTCCTCTGTAAGAGTGTACCAGCACTATCTGGCATCTATCAGATGTTAGCTAGGGCAAAAAATGAGAGAGCATAGGACTCCTCTGGACCTATTCCCTAAGCATTCACCCTCATTTGTTTGTTCAAAGCTCACAGGAGGAGTTTGTTTATTTTGTAGGTAGATTATAGGGTAATGAGCATTCATCCAGATTTGATTGTGGGGTGTTGATGCCTCTTGGTATTGATGCTTTGTTGCCTCCACATTTTTCAATGCATTTGATGACCACATTCCTAACCACAAAAAGTCTGGGGGGTTTTTCTTAATGGGTTTGTTGTGCCAGGGTGACAGAGCCCTTTTGTCCACTTTAATTAAATAAACCTAAATTTCCAGTATGCACTTGAATTGTTTCTGCAGAATACTGGCAATCTGAAGGCTACCATAGCAATTGTTTTTCTAGTGCCTTGCTCCTGAGATTTCCAGTTCCTTGTGGAGATGCTGTGCTGGATCAAATGTAGTTTTAAATGTACCTGATGTGCATATAGTCCCATAAAGTGAGTCCCAAATGTATCCAATGAAGCTTAGCTCTCTCTGTGTTTTTATGACCCCAGTCTTCTCCAGCAAAGCATTTAAGCTTTCTTAATTTCTCTGATCTTTAATGAGCATTATTTCACATATTTTTGACTGAGCTCATCTTCATCTTTCTAAGGACTGCAATATATACATGCATCATCAATTAGATAGTTCAAAAGCATCTTATTTTCTGTCATTAACATATTTGTGTGTGTAGACACAGAAAGCTGAGCAATCAACACAGTTTACATCTGCATAGCATTTCCAAAAGCTCCTCATGGATTTCAGGAATCACTTTTTTAAGGAAAATGACCAGGTATTCCAGCTATCTAATGATGTAGCATCTGAATCCAATTCAATTTATATGTTAAATGTGTGTAAGGAACCGTGAAGTGGTCTGTTAAGGATTCCCCTCTATTCAGAGGTGGAGCTAGCTGTGCACCCAGGGGCGGGGCTAGCTGCCCAGGGGGTGGGGCTAGCCACCCACCTTGCCACCCACGGGGGCAGAGTGAGCATCCAAGGGGGCGCCGCCCATGGTGAGTGTCCCGGGGGGGAGGCGCGGCGATGTCACCTCCCTCTGGGATGACATCCAGGTCGGACCGCACCCACCACACACCCCTTCCTCCACTAGTGCCTCTATTTATATTTGGTTAACATCTTTTCTTTTCTTTTTTCATTTTCCAAATGGCATCTTGCCATATCATATAGAAACCTATGTATCTGTATTATTTAAGAATTGGCCGGGGACCCTTAATGACTTCAATTATGACAGACAAAACTATTCTCATTTGCTTCCCAGTCAAATGACAGAAGATAATGCATGTAGAAAATGTGAGAACAACAGCTTCTGCCAGAGAAAAGTTTAGTTCCACCCCAACATAAAATTTCAAGTTTCAGATTGAGATGAATGCCTTTGTATTTTCTTTCTTGTAAAAATAAACAAATTAAAAGCTGAATGAAATAGAATGAATATTTCAATCAACCTTTTATCTTAATTTTTATACATCTATATCATCTATCTTTTATCTATTTATCTAATTAATGACTGCTTTTTAATTTGTAATTTTAATTTTGAAGCTCATATGCATGAACTAATTTCCCCTTTTGTTCATGCAATAAAATGGTCACAACAGATTGCTCTTACCTAAACTATAAGTCTGTATAAAGCACTGCCTTCTTTCATAAACTCAGGGTTAAATCTACATTGTTCCAAACTACCTTGGCATTCAACTCAATTTAAGGCTATTCTGAATGCAAGTATAATTGGTTTCCACTAATAATATTTTATTTTTTTCTATCCTTCTTTGTTCTCTTCTGCATAAAATAGCATAAAACTATTACGAAGCTATTTAAGTGTGAGCCATACTTAAAACATAAAACAATATAACAAAACGCATAAAAGACAATGTCTCCTAAAATTCACCATGAACAAATAGCATTTAGAGTATGCACTGCAAAGTGCAGTGTTTTGATGTGTTACATAGCAATCATAAAGCTACTTGTCTTGGGTTAGTTCCACTTGACTTATGTGAAACAGTCCAGTACATACCTCACACCAGGAATGAAGAATTGGAAAATCAAGCATTTGGGTAACACATTGTCAGAAATTATTATTTGCTATATAAATAAATAAAACCAAACCAAACCAAACAAATGTAGGCAGATACAATCTGTTCAGGCAGGCAAGAAATCTCCTCTGTCTACCTCTGAACCAAACCACCCCAGATGAATTCACACAGGTGTGCTCATAGGCAAACAGCATCTTCCATTAAAGACTTAGAATGACAATGTTCACAGGAGCACCTAGATTTAATCTGAAGCGTCAATTGCCATAACCTTTGACAGGAGATGTTTGTGGGGAGGTTTTACAGAATGGTCCAACAGAAACAGAGATAAGCTTCTCCAGGCCAATTCTGAATTAAGGACCAAGGATCAAGTCTAATTCAGTCTAAGTTGCATGTTTGGAGTTAGGCCCATTACAAACTGAATCCATGGGAGCTTGCCTGATCCTACTAGGGAGAATCAATGGGCTGATTGTGACCAAGCTTTGAGCTATTTTATTATGCTTATTCTAGTGATTATGATTTATTATTACAAGCCAAATAGAGTCAGAGATCTAAATTTAAAATAACAGACTCTCCAAGTGTCCCTATTTTCCAGGGACATCCCTGATTTAGAGAAGCTGTCCCAGTTTCTGATTGATCCCGGAATGTCCCACTTTTCCATAGGACATCCCTATTTTCATTGGAGAAATGTTGGAGGGTATGGAGTTATCTGATCCCTGAGCTGTCTGAAAGCAGCCCTGTATAGGAAGATTTTTTTTAATGTTTAATGTTTTATATTTTTTATATATATGCTGGAAGCTGCCCAGAGTGACTAGGATAACTCAATAAGATGTGTGGGTATGAACAGTAAAATTATTGTTATGGAATGGGATGTCCCTATGTTCATTGGAGAAATGTTGGAGAGCATGAAATAAATGAATGACATCCATGAGCAGGAATATGAGTTGGACTGCAGGGTTCTTCAACAGTTGTCTCCAGATGTTTCCCATCATCCCTGACCAGTTTAGTCAATAGTGAGAGATTAGAGGAGTTGTAGTCTAACAGCATTAGGAAACCAAGGCTGAAGAACACTGTTGGAGATGCATCATACTTTTGTCATGGGGACACCACCACATCTACTGACTTTATTGATTATATTAGCCCTGAGCTGAAACTTGTTCTACATTTCTCAGAAGCTTTCTTTTGCTACAAAAGAGGCTTCCATTTGTCTGCTTTGTTTGCAGCGCACTTGGGAGTTCCTTAATAATTTCCATGTGGGGTGGGGATAAGCTTACTTTATCACAAGGAATCTGATGGCCTAATCCCTGTAATATTATTGTTATGGATAGGGGAATGATCAGTCACTACAAAAGTGTGACTAACCATAAACACTTTATATTATAGAAAAGTAGTTTCATTTTATGGGCATTCCAATTCTTTAAAGTTATTTGAGAATATTTCTATTTAGATCTATTGACATTCTGCCAAATGATGAATTGTACTCTTTCTTTTTCCTAGTCCTTTTACATCTCTGCCTAGGGGAGCATTTCTTTCTTTCTTTCTTTCTTTCTTTCTTTCTTTCTTTCTTTCTTTCTTCCTTCAAGAGTATTGTTACTCTTCCCTTTCCCTTTCTAGTTTTATCATCATGTGTAAAGTGATATGTGCTCAACTAGATGTGTTCAACTAGAGCTCATTATGCTTATTTTACTAACAAAATCAGCCTTACTTGCAAGAATTACCATACAATGCTTATCACAATCCCTCACCTAGGCAAGAACGTGGTCATCAGGCTCTATTTCCACTTTCCTTGATTCCAGAAGCCAAGTCCAAGGTTAGCTGTTTGTCTGAGCCAAGAAAATACCATTATTTTCTGTTATTTAGTTCTGACACTTTCCTTCCAGATATCGCATTGTATAATTCAGACTGTTTCACATCATGCACATTTCAACATAAGAGAATAAAATGCATCAAAATAAATGGGACATTTCATGACACACAAATGTGATGCATCAAATATTTTTCAAGCAAATTTTCCTCTCTGTCATACCACTTTTTCATTTATTTGGTCTCCAAAAATTGTATTTGTGAACTGAAGCAGAGAGAATCAGGTTACATAGCCTCATTAGCATTAAAAACTGGAAGCACCAGCATTAGCCTTGCTGTTATTGCCCTTTCCAACCTTTTTTTCTGTGTGCAGAGTTTCAAAGTGAGCATGTCTACTGTGTGAAAGGGGTTTGTGGAAGGGGTTGGTTAATTATAAACATAAAGCCATAATGAATGAAAAATGCACTGTGTTCTCCAACTCTGCCAGATAGAAAAGAGAGAGTTCTGAATTGTTTTTTTCCGGTTCATCTATCATGACTTCTTGATTGCCTGTCAAACTCCAACCTCTATCCCAGCCAGCACAGAGCAATCAAAATGTTAACCCTTTTAAAGAACAGAAATCTATTTAGGATTTATTAATATTTTAATCCTGCAAATGCAGTGGCTCCATTAGCATCAAATTTGTATTAAAATTGCTATAATCTCTGGAATCAAGAACACTGGCTGGTAGTCAACCAAGTAATGGTGTGAGTGGAAGAACTTCCCCTTGTGCAATGGGACTTCTGCTTCTACCCCAGGCATAGGCAAACTCAGCCCTCCAGATGTTTTAGGACTACAACTCCCATCATCCCTGAACACTGGTCCTGTTGGCTAGGGATGATGGGAGTTGTAGTCCCAAAACATCTGGAGGGCCAAGTTTGCCTATGCCTCCTCTACTCTCTCCCATTCCTCCTAAATCTGTTCTTTGGGTTCCCACTGCCTTCCAAAGGAGATCTAAAGATGGTGCAGGGCATGTGCAGGAGGAGGATAGGAGAAGTCCTGTTGCACAAGGGGATGCTGTTCCACTTCTGCAGTTATTTAGTTTAATACCACCCAATATGGAAGCAACCCAGTGAAATAAATCATAATACTTACAATGGTAAACCTTTGGCCTGCCGGGCTGGGATCTATGAGTCAAGGGATCTGGCTTCAGCGAACAAGTCACTTTCCTTATGCATGTTTTTGAAAAGTGAGAGAGGGTGTGGGGGGGAAAGAACAGTCAGTAGTTTTGTTTTTGTCATGAGGATCTTGTGAACAAAGCACCTGATGAAATCTGTCTCCATGTACCGTATTGGCCCGAATATAAGCTGCACCTGCAAATAAGTTGCACCTTTAAAATTCAAGGGGGAAAAAAGAAAAAAAAAAGAAAATACCTGAATATAAGCCGCTCGCCATGTGTGTCTGTCTGAGGTGCTTTCTCATGCACGCTCTTCACACCCCCTCCAGGCCGGTTCCTCCTAGCAAGCAGCACAGGCATACACTCTTCCACCACCACCGCTCCTGCTCCTGCCTTGGCTTCTTGTCTTCCCTATCAGCTCAAGGTGTTCAGGCATCGCTGGAGAGAAAGATTGAAGGAGGGGGAAATGGAGGAGCCCACTGTTGACAGGAGAAGTGGGAGTGCCCCCCAAAGGGCAGAACAAACTTGGGCCACTCATGAGGGGAGGTTTCTCTTTCCCCTCTCATACAACGCCCGCCTTGCACCACTCACTTGTGGCCCCACTTCTCAGTTTCTTCCCTGCCACCCTCTACCTCATGGGCTGCTATGGTTTGACCACAGCAATTTTTGTAAGGTCGCGGATTTAAGCCACACTTTTTAACTTTTCACTGTTGTAATTTGGGGGAAAAAGTGTGGCTTATATCCGGGCCAATACGGTATTAATCAAGTTCATACAAGAGTTCATTCACTAATACTAACTTTTTCACTCCGTGCCCATTTTATTGTGTGTGTATTTCTTATGCATATCCTGATTTACTTCTTGTTTCATAACAACACAGTGTCTCTACAGCTATTCATCCTTGAGATGGGTATATATTGTATATCCAGTGGCACAGGACAATCAATATATTCTTTACCACATACTAAGAATGCAGACTGCTCCACAGGGACTTTATCTCAACTGGATTTTATCACTGAGAGAAAGAAGGAAGAAACACTTAGCACTGTTTCATAAAAATATGTTATATATGCATATACAGATTGAGAGAGTTATCAAGGGGGCGGGGAAGCAAATGCAGAGGCAGCATGAATTTTTAAAGTGATATTAGTATCGTAACCCCCATAGACTCTCTCCGTGTCTCTTGTGGAAGCTTTCAAGGACTCTCATTGTTGTTATTCCATTGCATATGGACTCTGGCCAACTCAGCAGATTTATAGAGAAGTAGAAACATCTCTCTTTCCTTTTCCTTCTGGGCTGCAGAAGGAAGAAGACTCCAGAGTGAAAGCCCCAGATATCTGCTGTTCCCAAGGGCCTGTATTGAGCTATGTACCCTGAATAAGCATGGTAAGATGTGGTATTGAAAGCCAATAAAATATGGGTGTGATGCAATGCCTAGTATTTCCCCATCTCTGTCTCTTTGCCACTCATATATTTATACAGTGGTACCTTGGTTTACAAACTTAATCCGTTCCGGAAGTCCGTTCTTAAACCGAAACCATTATTAAACCAAGGTGTGCTTTCCCTAATGAGGCCTCCCACCGCCGGTGCCCTTCCACCATTTGGATTCTGTTCTTAGACCAAGGTAAAGTTCTCAAACTGGGACACTATTTCCGGTTTTGTGGAGTTTGTAAACCGAATCGTTCTTAAACCAGACTGTTCTTAAACCAAGGTACCACTGTATATAATAGTTCAAGAAAACATGTAAACATATCACAGGTACCACAGTTCATAAACATACAAGCACAATATCATATTGAAGTAGCCAAGGGGAGAAAAGCTCATTCTCATTCATAACTGTTGGAACATAAGGCAACCTCTGTGGTATGAAGTGTAATTGTCTGGAGGGTGATGGTTTTACATTATGTAAACAGAGCTGATAAATGGGAACCAAATTTTCTCAAACTTCTCATGTTTTACCATTCCCTTTACTCTATGATGACAGCTTAAGTGTTCATAAAGTGCTATGTCCCACACTCAACACCACTGCTCGCTCTTAGAAGGCCCATTTTGGGTTTTCCAGCTTGAGCAACTTCTGCCAATACAATGTTTGAGAGGAATGGCATTTGTGATGGATTGTGGGATTTGTTGAACTATCTACTGCAAAGAGTGCTAGCAGGGCATCAGAGAGAAGGGGCTAGGTTGACGTTTGAGAGAATTTAAGGTACCTGACCCCAAAACCATGACTACCCTTCTATTGCCATCTGCTCCCTACCATTTTTTTTAATTTTTAATTTTTAATTTTTGCCAATAAACTGAATTCACAGAAGGAAAGGAAAATCCTTCCTAAACCCAATATAGGGTGGAATTGTATCCTGCCCACTCCACACCTCTTGCTGTAATTATGTGGACTATGGATTGATAATCCCTGACACATAGACAATGCTAAGTGATAGCAAACACAGCCAAATGGCTCTGGCACTTCTGAACAACCGTGGCTGAATATCTTTTCAAAGGGAAGAAGCAATTCAAAACAGCTAAGAAAATAATGCCCATGTAAATAAATCTGCATAAGGATGCAAACCATATTCAGCATCCTGATTAAATCATGAATAGTGATGAGGAAGTAGCAAGGGACAGTGGAATCTTGGCATTCTTCCAGCAGTTAATAACCACATTGCCATTCAGGAGCAGTCAGAAATAGTATTGCTCTAGTCTCCGAGAGTCAAATGCCTTGACTTGGAACTAAGAAAATGATTAGTGATGTTGACAAAATTCATAATTGCCTGGTTTGCTGCACAAATTTGTCCAGCTCAAAGTGCTCAGCTGCATTAGGAATTGCAGGCTTCTATTCCCCCCCGCCCCCGCCCCCCCGGACGTTGTTTCCTGACTTGGAATGTTAAATGAGGTTCTGCATGTGGGTGCTCAGCAGGGTTTTCCTATTAACAACTTACTCTTAGGACTTGCCGATCGGAAGGTCGGTGGTTCGAATCCCTGTGACGGGGTGAGCTCCCGTTGCTCAGTCCCTGCTCCTGCCAACCTAGCAGTTCGAAAGCATGTCAAAGTGCAAGTAGATAAATAGGTACCGCTCCGGCGGGAAGGTAAACAGCGTTTCCGTGCGCTGCTCTGGTTCGCCAGAAGTGGCTTAGTCATGCTGGCCACATGACCTGGGAGCTGTACGCCGGCTCCCTCGGCCAATAAAGCGAGATGAGCGCCGCAACCCCAGAGTCGGTCACGACTGGACCTAACGGTCAGGGGTCCCTTTACCTTTACCTTGTTAACGGCTGTGAGTAACAACAACAACAACATTATTTATACCCCACCCATCTGGCTGGGTTTTCCCAGCCACTTTGGATGGCTTCCAACAAAATATTAAAAATACAGTAATCCATCAAACATTAAAAGCTTCCCTAAAGAGGGCTGCCTTCAGATGTCTTCTAAAAGTCTGGTAGTTGCTGTTCTCTTTGACATCTGGTGGGAGGGTTTCCACAGGGTGGGTGCACCACCAAGAAGGTCCTCTGCCTGGTTCACTGTAACATGGCTTCTCGCAGTGAGGGAACTGCCGGAAGGCCCTCGGCGATGGACCTCAGTGTCTGGGCTGAAAGATGGGGGTGGAGACGCTCTTTCAGGTATACTGGGCTGAGGCCATTTAGGGCTTTAAAGGTCAGCACCAACACTTTGAATGTTGTGACAAAAAGGAGTGACATGATGAAACCCCCTGACTGCTAGGGCTGGGTTAAGCCATGTGGTTGCCAGAAGCAATGGACAAGATAGCCCCCTCTCCCCTAATTCTCATGCACAGAAGTTGACTGGACTAGCAACTAAATATTTTTCCAACACTAGCAAAGAGAGTGTCCTCTGCTGCAGCTGAGGAAAGCCTGATGATTGCAAAACAGGCCGTGTAGCACACCCAACACTTCCTCTTGCACTCATGCAACAAATTCACTTAAAAAATAAAATGGATTTTTATTTTTTTGGATTTTTAAAAATGACAGGGAAAAGTTTTGAAAAATGTGGGATGGACAATTGATTAGCTGGAAGTCAGGTCAAGACCTTGCAAGCAAATCAGGATCAATGACTATTGTCATATAACCACCCCATCAACAAATAAGTATGAATGCTCAGTAAAGACAGGACATAGTCTAAGCACTGCATCAGCTTTTTGCAAGCAAATCAGAATGAATGCTGGGTGAACAGGTCATTGGATGGAGTCCTTACTCTGTTACGCCTTGCATAAATATGGGTGTGACTCACATTCTAGTTACTTGGAACAACTAAGTCTGCCAGAGTTCTTTTTATCTCATATTATTGAGACATATTATTGCTTAGGAAGAGCAAATTCCCATGGTAGGAACACCTGACTCTCAACATTAACTCAATATCAAAAAATAGTAAGGGCACCAGAAGCAAAGATTGGCATGCACTCCCATTTTATAAGTCCCAGCACAATGACTCTGTAGATATATTTGTTCAATTGAGTACAAGGACTGAGACACATAAATAAAACACATTTGCCACAGTTATTAAATACCTACAAAATGAATGCAATTTGGCATAATATCCAATTTTCAGATAAATATTCCACCCCTGCACCCTTTCCCTGCTTAGCTTAGTGGTTGCATTCAGATGCAATTTGACTGGAAAAGAATTTTGCTGTGTTCAAGCATAATCTGCATGGAAGAGAAAGTGATAATTATTCATGAATCAAACAAGCACGCTTCTAAATCAGAAGCATAATCAAATACATTAAGCTGCTTCTTTTTCCCCCAGATTTGAATGGCTGCTGACAAGAGCAGTGTAAACCAGGACTGATTTGGCCCTGAGCATTTTCCTAGGTATAAAGCTGCAGTTATAAGGTCTGTGCATAAGCTCCTTTGTGTAGCTTTTGTGAGGCACTGCATCAGTCACAGTTCTGACTTGGCAAGCAAATGTTGTAAGCATCCCATTTCTTCAAAACTGGTGTTTAAACATTAAGGATGGCATTCAACTCATAGCAGTTCTGTTGAAAATAATGATTATGACTAAGTTGAGTGCCAGTCCCCCAACAGCAGCATTAGTACAATGGTGGCGCTGTGTGTTAAACCACAGAGCCTAGGGCTTGCCAATCAGAAGGTCGGCGGTTCGAATCCCCGCGCTGGGGTGAGCTCCTGTTGCTCGGTCCCTGCTCCTGCCAACCTAGCAGTTCGAAAGCACGTCAAAGTGCAAGTAGATAAATAGGTACCGCTCCGGTGGGAAGGTAAACGGTGTTTCCGTGCACTGCTCTGGTTCACCAGAAGCGGCTTAGTCATGCTGGCCACATGACCCGGAAGCTGTACGCCGGCTCCCTCGGCTAATAAAGCGAGATGAGTGCTGCAACCCCAGAGTCGGCTACGACTGGACCTAATGGTCAGGGGTCCCTTTACCTTTACCTCAGGTTACGGACGCTTCAGGTTACAGACACTTCAGGTTACAGACTCCGCTAACCCAGAAATAGTACCTGTGGTTAAGAACTTTGCTTCAGGATGAGAACAGAAATCACGCAGCAGTGCAGCGGGAGACCCTATTAGCTAAAGTGGTGCTTCAGGTTAAGAACAGTTTCAGGTTAAGAACGGATCTCCAGAACGAATTAAGTTCTTATCCCAAGGTACCACTGTACTCCCATTTTTACTCCTGGGACAGATGCACATTGTACAAGTAAAGTGTATCCAACACACTTTTATAACATGTGACTTCCCCTCCCCAAATCCTGGGAACTGTAGTTTCATACCGATGCTGGTAATAGTAGCTATAGCCACAGTTCTCAGGATTCTTTAGGAGAAGCCATGTGATTTGTTTTCACTGAACTTAATACCTCCCCACTTGTACGCAATCAGCACACGTGTGACCGCTGCCACGCGTGCCATTTTTGGTGTTGAAAGGGGGCAAGGCGGTGCAGAGACAGAACAGGTGCCACAGCGAAGAAGGACGTCTCTGAGATCTTACCCACCTCACCTGGTTCCCAGGTTGAAGTTCGTTCAACCAATATCATGGTGCAGAGAAGAACAATGGCATGTTGTTAGACTCCAGTAGCCCAAGCCCACATGGCCAATGGTCAGGGTTAATAGAAGGCCATAGGCTGCCCATCCCTGTTTTAGCATCTCTCTGCTGGAAGCTAGGCTGTGTATACACTACAACATTAAAGCACATTCAAAACACATTATTCTTTCCCTCAAAGAATTCTGGGCACTGTAGTTCACCCTTCACAAAGTTACAATTCTCAGCAAACCTTAACAAATGAGAGTGCCCAGAATTCTGTGAGAGAAAGAATGTGCTTCAGATGTGTAGTTTGTGCACAGTCTTAGAGCGAAAAGGTGCACAGCATGAATGAATGCTGTATCTTCCTCATTCCAGAACTGAAGCACCACCACTGAAAGGCCTTTATTTCTGATCAGCACATCTCTGGAGCTGAGATTACTGAGGTACAGGGTTATGTATTCCAGGCAAGTGTCAACCGTGTTTTGCACAGTCATGCAATGTGCCTCAGTCAAATGAGCATAAGCACTAGAGATTACCCAGAATGACACAAGAGTGAGCATAAAGGAACCAGGTAATTCAATGTGGGGAACCTACACAACACCCATCATCTCTGGCCATTGACCAGGTTTGTTAGAGCTGATGGGAGTTCATCAATATATGGAAGGCCCAAGATTTCCCACTCCTGGTGTAGTGCAATATGACAGATAAACCCTTACAGAATTGCAGTCAGCAGGTTTTCTGCTGCCAACCCCCATTTTAATACTAAATTGCTCAATAGTCTTGTGAAATCTTCAGCTGAATTGAAGCACTTTGTAGTGTGATGTCTCTCATCTCTCTTGGAACTAGCTGTACGGTCTTGTGGTTACAGAGCAAAGCAAAAGAATCACATCAACATAAAAATACCTTACTTTTTTTGCAAACTACTTTGAGTTTTGTTTTTGTGTTTTATGATTAAGTGGCATATAAATTTTATGAAATAAATATATTTCCCCCTGCTGTGATGAAGCATCTTCCTTCTCTTAAAAAAAGGGGGATTTTAAAAAATAGAGCTTGGTCACAAAACCAGTAGTCTTAAAAACTACTTTCTTCTGATAATATTAATGATTTGTGCAACCATCTTCTGTAATTTAATGAACAGCAGCAGCAGCAATGACAACGCTTTTAGTCTGCCAAGTTGTGTTAAAGGCTTTCTCTGTTCACTGAGGCTCTAAAATGCTAGCAAATAGCAGCAGGGTTATGCACTTAATAGATGGTTATTTAGAAAATATAAATATAGTATGGTATCCTATATTGTGGTTGATTCATGTTTCAGGACTACTGGGGGGTGGATGGCTGTCAGTTACAGAGAGGTGGACCACATTTATCTGCTCAGTGGAATACATCCACCATGCATCTGAAATGCAAGCTAAAAGTACATTCATTCATTCATTCATTTAATAAAAATACTTTATTGATTGATTGATGCTCAAGGTGGTATACATGGGTCTCCTCCTTCCCAGTTTATCTTTTCAACAGCCCTGTGAGGTAGGTTAGGCTAAGAGATGGTGACTGGTCCAGGATCACCCAGTGACATACGTGGCTGAATGGTGATTTGAACCCTGTTATCTCAGGTCCTACTCCAACACTCTTAACCACTATACCATATTGGCCCTCTTTATAAATTGTATTTTCAATAAAATTGAAACCATGTTTTGTGTCAGTATGAAATTGGCAATAAAATGGCTAGCACATTTTCAAAGCTAAGCAGGGTCTGGTATGGTTTCAAATTGGATGGGGGACCATGTGTTGAGATTTCCTGCATTGCAAGGAGTTGGACTAGATTACTATGGGGGTTCCTTCCAACTCTGTGATTCTATGATCCAGCCAAATGTCATTCATGCTGATTTTCCATTCAACATGGGTGGGTGGGTGTTGGTGTACATGTGTGAGAGTGAGAAATGTGGCCATCAGATGCATATACAGCAAGTGTTTGAGGAGGCTGAACCTGTAGGATTAGTTACTGGATATCCAGTACACATTGCTGTGGTGAGAGAACCTTGCATTTTATGGATTATCAGGCAGAAATTCTTAGCTTACTTAGACATCAAGTATTTGGAAAAGCAGCACGTGTAGAATTTTTGCCTGAGTATTTTATATTCCCCATTTTTTCTCAAACTGTTTAGTGCCAGAGTGTCTTGTCAAACAAGTTAACTCATTCAAAGTAAGCTGTTTCTTATCCTTTATACCTCAAATGCAGCATGCTCCATGTACAAGCTTTCTTCTCATGATGTTTCAAATCAATCTGTTGAACCATTTTTAAGTATAAGCCCCATAGCCTAGGAAAAAGTACAAGTAATATCATGTAAAAGAAAACTATTTCTAGGGCTCATACTGATAGCTTTGCCCTAAATTTGCTTCCCTAACAAACAACAACAGCAGAGTGACTTACCAGCATGACATGAATAAAGAAACTCATTCAAAATGACACTACTTTCTAATATGCATTTATCCAGCTCACTGTGCAGAATATTCTTAATCTAAACTGAGAAGACAATGGTACATCAGTCTTTCCTTCACAGTGACTGCAAAAAAACAAACAGTGTGTTTGAAAAGCAATCAGATGGATAATTAATCAGCACCACAAATTCAGTAATTGGTGTGTACTATCCTTGTGGAATTCACCATACAATTTTAGTAAGAATAATGTTATAGTCACTGCCTGGCATGCAGTTCCAGATTTCCTCATTGATCTGTAGCTTCTCCTAAGCATGTTGCAAAGAAAACCCGCTTAACAAATGCATTAATGACATGCTTTGATTTATGCTGGTGTCTCCCCTTGGGTATTATTGAGATAATGAATATGACATTTAAAGCATAAATATAAGCATCTTAAATCATCTGCAGGTGTTGCTAGATAATAGGTGAGTTCCACCCCCTGCAGTGCGAAAGCTTTTTAAAAAAATGAGACTTAATGCTGTTCCATTAAGTTTTTAAAAATTGCTAGAAAATGTACGAAGTGTGATCCAAATGTCTGTGCTATTTTAGTTGATACATTGGATTTATTGTTGATGGAGTGGTGTTTTGTGATGGGGGTGCTCTGTATTTATGGATGAGAAATCCTCCCCCTCCCCAGTTCATTGATGATGTTCTTCTCAAGTCTGAAGTTGGTGACCCCTACATAATTGTCCATAGCAAGACATGTATGTAGAAACACAAGAAGCTGTCTTATATTGAGTCAGACTATGTCACTCAGTACTGGCTACAATTTCAGGCAAGGAAACCCCTTATCCTACCTGGAGATTCTAGGAATTGAACCTAGGGACCCACTGGTGGAGGAAGAGGGGGGCAGGGGGAACGCACCACCCCCGGCAGCGCGATCCTGGTGGGGTTCCATCGCGGAAGGAAGATCAACACCTTGGAAAGTGGCCTAGGTGTGGACTTTAGGACCACAGCTGATTATACTATCACTGACAGCAAAACATACAAGTTGCCTCAATGGTGTCCTGAAGCAACTGAGCTTTATAAACTAGACTAGTTATCCATTGACTAAAGACCTCAAACCCTGAATGCTGTATCTGCCAATTGAGGGGCAATGCAACCATTTGCCTTTTCTGGGCCCTGGGATTTCAAGCTCTGAGGATCTCAGAGGGTGCCTTTAGAAGGGCTCTGTCAGGTCTAGCCTAGGGAGGCCTGCATTTATGCAAGCTTGCAGCTCCTGGAACGAACACGCATGCAGCCCACAAACACACTTTGTAAATGGGGAGCAGACAGGTTTGCCACATGTATACAAGGCAGATCTTTCCTTCTAAGAACTGTAAAACTCTAAATGCCTACCACTATTAGATTTAGCTGTTCCTTGTAATAAAATAAAAATGTGTGAGTGGCTGGGTATTATGAAATATTTTATTTACATCATGGAAGGTGGGAAGCCGTGCTCAGTCATTTGAAGCTTTGCCTCTGATACTCAGGTTTATTAACCTTGTCTATAAAGAAATCACTCAGAACAAATGCTGATTGTGTACATCTTCCAAAAATGCTTGGCTCACCAAGTGCATCGTTTGCATCATCAATTTATCATTCATGCATTTTAAACCAGGAACTTGCGGGTCACATTTTCCTTTTGTCAGACGAACTGATAGCATGAAAGGACATAAAAAGGTTAAAAAGAAAAACAGAGAGAGAAGTACTGTATCATTTGTTAGGGAGCTAGTCTCTTCCACATGCTAGTCTCTTCCTCTAAAATCACACAAGATGCTGTTATGTTTTCAGAAAAAAGACTTGCTGAGATTCTATCATGTTCCTGAAACTCGGGATGCATATACACACATATAAAGCACATGACTTTCCCCAAAGAATCCCAGGAATTATTATTTGTTAAGGATGCAATTGTAGCACTGTGAGAGGTAAGCTATAGTTCCCATGATTTTTTGAGGGAAGACATGTGAAAATGAAGTTCATCCTAATTCTATGATACTCTGTTTCTGAGGAGGCAAAAAGATCCTGGAAACCATGTGACTCACTCATAGGGCTGAGGGGAGTTTGCACTTTAATGAGAAAAAGCTACTACCACCATAGAATGGAGGTGAATTTGCCACAACCTAACTCCCCTGGGAAGAAGACTCAGAATGGTTTTGCCCTGGGAAAGAGCTGGGGAAGGGTCCAATAAATGCATGCATTGATGAAAAAACCAAAACAGAAATGCGCCTGGGTAAAAATTACTTGCAAAAATATGTGTATTTGTCAAAACCAAATACAAAACTATTTATTAGGAGAAATTCACTAATGCTGTAGGTTGGTTTTTGTCTTTCTTTCCCCAAAACAGATCAAAAATTTCGATGGAAATGTGGAGAACCGAATTTAAGATCAGAAAAATGAGGACCTGAAATTGGAAGGTACATCCATCTTTACTCAAACATGTGGGTAATATTCTTCACATGTTTCTGATATAATCATGGTGCCAGGGACTACATGACTGCCTCCACTGACATCATTGTGCCCATCATAACCTCTGCCAATAGGGAGCCTGCTCTTTGCCTCAAGTCTCCTTGCCCATTGTTGAACCCTAAAGGATCAAGGTTCTAAATCATGTAGTAGTTCTGCTGAATAAGTTATGGTGAATACAGTGACTGAGAAATCAGGAGCAGTGGGATGCATGTAGATGTGGAGACAGGACTCCACACCTTCTGGCTTCATGTTTAGTCTTTTCCCACGTGCAACACATAAATGAGACTTCTGAAGTATTTCTTTTCAGAACAGAGAATGTGCATTCCAACCACAATTTTTAGGATTGGTGTTTCTTGTTGCACTCATTAGAATCAGCAAATCATTCATGTCCTAGGCACCTGCATCTCAAAATGAATTTTGGGTAGGTAGAATGTGACAATGAAATCTACTTAAAGCATAATGGCTTGGTTGCACAATAGGCATTACCAAGCTTAATACGTAAGATTATTTTCCTTTATGTGGCAAATGTGTCTGTGTGGCGTTTACACATTTCCCAAACAAAGAAAGGCAGGGGGAGGTTGACTTTATGCGTTTTGTGTTTCTAATCAAAAACCTGTGGCTTTATTCTACTTCCTTTCTTTCAAGAGTAAAAAGTCTTTCTAATGGCGAAAATTGAGCCTTCAGTTTGACGGAGAATCAATATTTGTTCTGCTTTGTAAGAGTTACTTTTTGTCTTCCCACAGATGCATATTGATTGAAAAGGAAATTTCAGCATGCATTGTTACAAATGGCTCTCACTCGCACTGACCCTGGCTCAGCTTGGGCCCTGTTTTCCCTGTACGCACAAGTGTAACCCCGATGACTTGGAGCAAGCATTTGTGAGACGTCAGAGAGTGAAACATGGCGGGGTCCGGAACCTGCTGGTTGTACAGGAAGAACTGATGTTAACACATTCTTTGAAATCGGGCCAGGTACAGTAACTCTTTCTGTGGGAGGTTTAACATCTCGTTGAGGTGTTGATTAGTACCTGCTTGCTTTTCTAAATCTTCCCTCAATCTGGCCTTGTGAAAGAACAGTCTCCTTGAAGCCTTTCTTCTGAGATGTGCAGCAATATACAGCAATACCCGAAGAATAAGCACCATCTTTGCCCTTCTTGCACTGTTTAACGATCTGCTCCATGTTTTCAAAGATGCTTTAGCATCAGAGAATCTGAAAGATCTCCTGTCCAGGTTTTACTTGGGACTGGAGGACTTGGTCAGAGAGCCATGTAAGATTCTGTGTTAGGACTGTCAGACAGGCAGGATCATCCACAGGTCAGAATGATGACTCAAGACTCAATGTGCAGTCAGCTTTTTCATTCAGAAAAGGAAAACACAGCAGAGTTCACTCAGGCTCATCTGCCCTAGTTGAAGACATTGTTGGGGCTGGCATCTGTCCCCTCCTTCCCTCTTTATTTTTTTTTTTTTAAATGATATTTATTAAAGTTTCACAAAAATACAGAAAACAAAGAAAAAAGTATAAATTACAGCAAAAAAGTAAAAAGTAAGAAAAAACATACAAAATAAAACAATTAAAAACACAATGATGTTCCATAACCTATCTTCCTTACTCTTATTTCCCCAGACCTCCTCATACCTCCCTTCTTTGTATTCCAATTCAGTTTGTTGGTTCAGCAAATCCTTACCATTAATCTTTTACCCAATTGTTAACCTTTTTTTTCATGTCTCTTAAAGCATTACAGCTAAAAACCTCTTAATTTCTATCCAACATCCTTCTAAAGTTCCTTAATTTTACAATATTTCTGTAAATAGTCCTTAAATTTTTTCCAATCTTCTTTCACCGACTCTTCTCCCTGGTCTCGGATTCTGCCAGTCATTTCCGCCAATTCCATGTAGTCAATCACCTTCATCTGCCATTCTTCCAAAGTGGGTAGATCTTGTGTCTTCCAATACTTTGCGATAAGTATTCTTGCTGCTGTTGTAGCATACATGAAAAAGGTTCTGTCCTTCTTTGGCACCAGTTGGCCGACAATGCCCAAGAGAAAGGCCTCTGGTTTCTTCAGAAAGGTATATTTAAATACCTTTTTCAGTTCATTGTATATCATTTCCCAGAAAGCCTTAATCTTTGGGCACGTCCACCAAAGGTGAAAGAATGTACCTTCAGTTTCTTTACATTTCCAACATTTATTATCGGGCAAATGATAAATTTTTGCAAGCTTGACTGGGGTCATGTACCACCTGTATATCATTTTCATAATATTCTCTCTTAAGGCATTACATGCCGTAAACTTCATACCTGTGGTCCATAACTGTTCCCAGTCAGCGAACATAATGTTATGTCCAACATCTTGTGCCCATTTAATCATAGCAGATTTCACCGTTTCATCCTGAGTATTCCATTTCAACAGCAAGTTATACATTCTTGACAAATTTTTAGTTTTGGGTTCTAACAATTCTGTTTCTAATTTTGACTTTTCCACTTGGAAGCCTATTTTCTTATCCAAGTTATATGCCTCCATTATCTGATAGTAGTGGAGCCAATCTCTCACTTTATTTTTTAATTTTTCAAAACTCTGCAGTCTCAATTTATCTCCTTCTTGCTCCAAAATTTCCCAATATGTCGGCCATTTGGCCTCCATATTGAGCCTTTTCAGAGCTTTTGCTTCCATTGATGACAGCCACCTTGGGGTTTTATTTTCCAATAAGTCTTTGTATCTTATCCAGACATTAAACAATGCTTTCCTAACAATATGATTTTTGAATGCTTTGTGTGCTTTGACCTTATCATACCATAAATATGCATGCCATCCAAATACATTGTTAAAACCTTCTAAATCCAAAATGTCTGTGTTTTCAAGAAGTAGCCATTCTTTCAGCCAGCAAAAAGCTGCTGATTCATAATAAAGTTTAAGGTCTGGCAGGGCAAATCCACCTCTTTCCTTAGCGTCAGTTAATATCTTAAATTTTATTCTGGGCTTCTTGCCCTGCCAGACAAATCTAGAAATATCTCTCTGCCACTTCTTGAAACAGTCCATCTTATCTACAATTTGTAATGTCTGAAACAAAAACAACATTCTAGGCAATACATTCATCTTTATCACAGCAATACGGCCCAGCAACGAGAGTTTCAAATTTGACCAAATTTCTAAATCTTTAATCACTACCGTCCAACATTTTTCGTAATTATCTTTAAATAAGTTCCCATTTTTGGCTGTCATATTAATCCCCAAGTATTTCACTTTCTTTACCACATTCAATCCTGTCTCATTCTGAAACCTCTCTCTTTCAATCGGTGTTAAGTTTTCTCTAAAACCTTAGTTTTTAACTTGTTCAATTTAAAACCTGCCACCTGACCAAATTCCTGAATTAATTCTAAAACTCTTTTAGTACTAGATTCTGGCTCCTGTAACGTCAATACTAGGTCATCTGCAAATGCTCTCAATTTGTACTGTTTAGCTCCGACCTGTATGCCCTTAACCAACCGGTCCTTTCTAATCATATTTAGCAAAACCTCCAGGACCGATATAAAAGCAGTGGGGAAATTGGGCACCCCTGTCGTGTCCCTTTTTCTATCTTAAATTCTTCCGTAACCACATTATTTACAATTAATTTAGCCTTTTGTTCAGAGTATATTGCACCTATACCATTTTCAAAACCTTGGCCTACCCCATCCCATGCAGATTCTTCTTCATAAAACTCCAAGAGATATTATCAAAAGCTTTCTCCGCGTCAACAAATATCAATACTGCTTTGGTGTTTATATTCACTTCTAATTTTTCCAAAATATCAATTATATTCCTCAAGTTATCAGACAGATGTCTTCCCGGAGAAAGCCCGCTTGGTCTTTATGAATCTCTTTCATCAATATTTTTTTCAATCTCTTGGCCAAAATGTCTGCAAAAATTTTGTAATCCACATTAAGTAACGATATAGGGCGATAGTTCTTAAGCTGAGTCTTTTCAGTCTCTGTTTTCGGTATAAGTGTGATGTACGCCTCTTTCCACGATTCTGGTGCCCTTTCCCCTCCAGTATTTCATTGCAGACTTCCTTCAAAGGTTGCAGTAACCACTCTTTCAAAGATCTATAGTATCTGGAAGTCAGCCCGTCCGGTCCTGGAGATTTGCCCAATTGCGTATTTTGTATGGCACCTTCTACTTCCTGTTCAGATATTTTATAGTTCAGCATTAATTTACTTTCTTGAGAGATTTGTTGTAGGCCATTTGTCTTCAAAAATTGGTCTATGTCCATTTCCTTCTGTGGCCCTTGTGTGTATAATTGTTTAAAGTACTTCTGGAAGCAATTTCTAATCTCATTTGGATTATGTATACTCTTTCCTTCCACTTCTAAATTTATAATAGTATTTAATTTTTGTCTTTTTTTCATTTGCCAGGCCAACAGTTTTCCACATTTATTAGCTGATTCAAATGTTTTTGTCTCATTTGTTTGATTTTCCATTCTATTTCCTGATTCATCATTTCCATATATTGTACTTGATATAATTTTATTTCTCTCAAAATCTCCTGGGACTTTGGTTTTGCTCTCAATTTCTTCTCTCCTTCTTTTATTTTTTCCAAGATTTTATCTTTCTTTTCATTTTGACTTCTCTTCTTTATTGCATTCTGTTGTATCAAAAACCCTCTCATCACAGCTTTGCTTGCGTCCCAGATTACTCTTTTTTCTACATTGGTATTCATATTTATTTCAAAATAATCTCTCAAAGTCTTTTGGGCCTTTTTGTAAACTTCTTCATCTCTAAATAAGGTGTCATTCATCCTCCATCTAAAGGATCCGGTTGTTGTTTGTTTCATCCCTCCTTCCCTCTTTAGCCCTTTGCCTCTGGACTCCTCCCAAGCAGACATAAACTATCAGAGCGACCCCTCCTTTGGGCCTTTCTGGCCTGATGCTCAGCAATGTGCAAGGCTCTTCATGATCTTGGTGTCAGTGGAGGAAGAGAGGCCACTGTAGAAGGACTTGCCTACTGATATGAAACTGAGGCAGCGTCTGGCTCCTCTCTGTCAGAGTCTGCACTCAAACTGACATACTTGGCATCCCACCTTGTCTGTGGACAGCTTCCTTCTTCTGACTCTCTGTGTTCACTCAAGCCTCCTGCTTCTACCACCTCCCAGCTTTCTTCCTCAGTGTCCCACCACCACTGTCCTGGTCTAAGTCTTCTTCCTCTATGTCATCTCTAAGGGGTTCTTGGGCTGGCGCCTCCCACCACTCTTCATCATCCAGCCTGTCCTTCAACCACAAGTACTTGTTTGACACTAAAGTTGCTATCATAAACTTAAAACCGTATTTGGTTTAGGCCACTTCTCAGCATTTCCCTGGCTCCTTGAAGGAACTTACAAACTCAGAATCGAATTCCCTATGGGCTGAGGTAGCCAATCATAGTAGTTTAACTTGAGGATTGGTGTGTACATATTTCTGGACTTTTATCTGAGCTACAGCACAGGGAAAGGAACTGTGCAATTAAAAAATAGTATCATGCTGTATTGACAAAAGTGTTTTGAAATTCCCTTCCATCTTCCAAAAAGAAAGAAAGGACTCATTTATCAACATCTGGCAACTTGCTTAGGCTTTATCTTTTTTTTTTCTTTTTTTGGCATTGCATCAGAACAGACACACTGAGCAGCAATGCAGTTTACCAACACTATTTAGATTGATATTCTGTTACGTTAAGTGGCATTTGATTTACCCCTCATTAATTTTTAATGAAGCAGATTAATACTAAATACTTTTTACCAGTAAGAAAGCACCAGGAACCGGCACAGTTCATTATGTTAACGTGACTTGGGCACAATAAGCAATTATTTTCCACCCCGTTTGAAAATGCATACGATGCCCAGTAATTTTCTTAATGATTCTTCCCCCTTCTTCTTTATTGCTGTTATTTAGTTACTTAAAAAAAAAAATCAAAATAAGAGAAGAATAAAACACATAACGCTAAAGCCATTTTTAATCTCTCCATCTTGCATCCTTTTCCTATAAGGCAACTTTTGAGCTGAATGAATGGCAAAAAAAAGTTTAACCACTAATTAACTAGCACTAAAATTTAATTGGGCCCAAAGGGTGAAGTGCTCAAAATTCATTAATTACTTTTTACAGCCTTTCAAAGCAAAAACTCTGGAAGTATGATGTCTCATTTCAAAAGGATACAACAAGACAATCCCTTTATATTTTGTGCATCTGCAAATATGGGTCACTTTTTTTTTAACAGAAAGGTCACAAAAATGTGATCAGCTTTCAGAAAGTTTGCTTTTTAAAAACAACAACACCAAAAGCAAATATGGATTTAATTTGCAGAATGTAATGTGATGCAGAGGGCCTCTGTTTGTTTATAGGAAGCATTTCCTGGGTACCTTTGTCCCTCCTTTTTGTCATCAATGCATTTAGAAACGGCTTCTGATGTTTCTCCTTAAACATATAAGCCTAAAAAAGCCTTATTGGGGCCTCATGTGCACTATGCATTTAAAGCAGTATTATAGCACTTTAAACAGAGATGGTTTTCTCCAAAGATTCATTGGAACTGTAGTTTTCTAATGGTGCTGAGAGTTGTTAGGAGACCACTGTTCCTCTTACAGTTCCTAGAATTCCCTGGGAAGAGTGATTGATTATTAATCAAGATGGCTGGTGTTTCTCAACTTTGGGAACTGGAGTTGAACTGGAGTTGAAGATGGTTTGATAAATATTTGAATTTTCATTAGCATCTCATATCATTTAAATTTGTCATATCTGATGAACTTGCCTTTTTTCACTGATGCCATACTACATAGAAGATTTCACCACGCTAATATAAAAAATGATGGATACCAGATTCAAATACTTGTCATTTAGTCTTTGCAAGAATTATCAATGAATCAATTAATTAATCACACTCCAAACAAGCATTTCAAGATGATTTACAATAAAGACAACCAAAACAGCAAATACATTTAAAACAAAACTAAAACCATACAAAATCGACATTCATGGCAAAGACCCGTTTATTCAGCTGTTAAAGTCTGTCAGATCAAAAATGCCTTTAGTTGTTTCCAGAAAGTTGTTTCCAGATATTGGGCACCTTTTGTATCTCAACTGCTGAATCATGGGGCATTCGTGAAATTCCGCAACTGTTTGTTTCTATTACAAGGAGAAAATTCTGCTAATTACGAAAATAAATTGACTCCATTTGCTTTGCAATCAGAATGACATACTACAATCTCATTCAGTTTGGTATAAATCAATACATGAAAGGGATTGCTGACCTTATTGGGGGGAAACCGACTTGACATTAAATTTGATAAGGTTTGTTTGTTTGAATCCTATCTTGAAATCAGCTTGTTACTCATTATTCTCGCAGCTGAAAACTGATGTAGATAAACAAGACAATTCCCTGGCTGAAAATGGACCACATTTTTTGGATGAACCCTATGAAGCCACTGTTCCCGAAATGTCTGTAAGAGGTACTGTGTGTTGTACTTTGACCTTGCATTGATTCTATGTGTTTATGTTTATGTTTATGAAGTAGGCTGTTGCAGCTAGATTATTTCATTTTCCTAAAGAATCAAAATTTGAAAAGATTCAGGACTTTAAATATGTGCAAACCAATGGGGTTTCTCTAAACCAGCATTTCTAATCATCACATCCCTCTCATTCCTATAAACCCTGTTCCATGCCCAATAATCACGGGATGCCTTTGCCCAGTGATGCTGTGGCCCATAGATTGCAGCAAAATACTGGGCAAAGTTACATAAAAATACCAAATGAGAACACAAAACACACAATAAAAAACAAACAAAAAACAAACCAAATACCCTCTTACCACAAACATATTTAAAAGGCCATACAATGTTTTATCCACCAAAGGCAAGGTTAAAGAGAAACAATATATAATGAAAGTGTCAGAAGAGCATTCCACAAATGGGGAGCCACTGCAGAAAAGGCTCTTTGCCACATAAGTTTCCCACAACCAAATCAGAACAAATGCTCAAAAAGAGTGGACACTGTATAACCCTTGAGTAAGCAAATCAGTATGAATGCACAATAAACACATTGTCTGTACGAGTCTTTAATCTCTGATTTGGTTTTATTTTTCTGTTTCCTCCATCTGAACATCTCTTTTGGACTAGCTTGCTTCTTAAGATCTAAATTGTAGCTTGTCTAGATCACATCCTTCTTTTGGGGGGTTCTGCAAAAGGATAGGAGATATACCAATTTAAATCTGGTTTAACTGGTTAAATTAAGTTTCAACTTCTTTTTTAAACGCTTCCTTCCTAGCATTCAGTTGCTATCTCACATTCACACAGTCTCTTCAGGGCTCTTCAAATTATATAGTTTCTTCAGCAGAATATTTAGCTCTAAGTGCAATTCAAGAATCAATATCTGTATTAACATGTATGCACATTAATTTATTATTTAGTACACTTTCTTACTTACCCACTAAAGACAGCATTTACACTTTCTTCAGGTTTTAAATACAAGTGTTCTACTAAATTAAAGTGTAACAGGAAATACAGTGGTACCTTGGTTTTCGAACATAATCCATTCTGGAAGACCGTTTGAGTTCTAAAATGTTTGGAAACCGAAAACTCAATAGCCGACAGCTAGGCCTCAGGATCTTGCACTCAGTAGAAGCTGCGTGGCATGTTCGGCTTCCAAGGTGTGTTCGAAAACCGAAGCATTTACTTCCAAGTTTACGGCGTTCAAAAACCGGAATGTTCATCAACTGAGACTTTCGAAAACCGAGGTACCACTGTAGACTCTTCCGCAAATACAATGCTATGATCTCTGTCACATTGTTTAAATGTCTATAGACACAATACATTTATAAAAATGACCAAGACTAGAGTGCAGTGGTCATACTTTATATTTCAGTGGGTTTGAGATCTGATTTAAAACTTTATCCATATAGTTTTTTCTGCAATTTTTATTTATACCGCTGTCTAGTAGCAAATTCAGGACATAATGTATTATTATTGCATTCTTATTCCATTCATTGCTTCCATGGTTCTCGCCTTCCATCAACTCTGACAAGTTGTTGTACTTGTGAGAGTAACATTTCAGTTTAAACACTGTAGCCTAATAGTCACACGTGAAATCATTTTTAGTTAGTTGAAATCATTTTTGAGTACACAATCTTGAAGTCCTATAGCATTTGGAAACTATTAAATGTAATATGTGGAAGCTACTGAAGGAACAAATTCCATGGCACAACTGATTCATCTTTGCCAACTTTTTGAAATTATTAGGTTGCCACATTTCTAGCATTTTCCTGAATGGCCTTATGAGTCTGCAAAAAGCTGAATATCCATCTGGTTATTGAATGCAGATTTCAGAGTTGTTCTTCTCATATTACCTCAGGAGCATATAAACATATGTACGTAGCAATCCAAATTATGTGCCATATGTCTAGCCTCATGAGCTATTCAGTGCCTCATGGGCCATTCAAAAAAATCACATGATTGAAGCCACACAATAATAAGATTATAGTAGTGGGTGTTACCTAAGGATTATCTTCTTAGTAGTGACTTCCTTTTTACTCAAACCAAGTCACAGCCAAAATATAATAGCGATGGGGAAACTGCAGCCTTCCTGAAGTTATTGGACTCCAATTCCTATCAGCCCCAACTCTCATGGCCATTGGTCAGTGATGATGAAAGTTGTAATCCAACAACCTCTGAAGACCCACAGGGTAGACATAATTGACTTAAATGATGTGGTCCCAAAGAAGCTTCCAAGCAGATAAATTTAATACTCTGTGCTGCTTTCTTAAGTAATAGTATACAAATAAGTTTGCAGGTGAGATACAACACAAAAGCCATTAGTTTGGGACATTTCTTTTGATGCCACGAAAGCAGCCAGATTCCCTATCAACATATTTACAGATAATGTTACTTCTTTATATAGGCATCTAAAAGTCCTCAGGGTGCTGCTGACTAATTTATCAGAGAAACATGCCGTTGTAGTGGAATGTCTTGGGATAAGATGCGATAATGTGATTCTATGATAGAAAGTGGCTGGAGGTCTTGCGTGCCCCAAGAGAGGTCGATTTGTATTTGTATTTAGGAGTTAGGAAAGAAATGAGTTAGACATAAACACTGCATTATAAAATGAGAAGCTCTGACGAATATTTCCTTCATGGGTATAATCTTATGAAAGGCCCGTGGGGATGGTGTCAGATTTAGATCTAGGATATAGCCAGCTCCCAACCAGAGACAAAATTGTCTTCTCTAGATGGATTGCACTATCTGTTATTCAGTGGAAAATGCTCATTACCAACCTCAAGGATATAAAAAGCTATCAGAATCCTGTTGTGTGTCTTGCCTGCATTGCTTGTTTTGACTTTATTTCTTTTAAGCCGCACCACAGGCATTAAATTAAGGACTGATGCAGTGCTCCTGGTTTGGTGGTTTTTTGTGTGTGTGTTTTTTAATATGGAGTCCTTTATTATCTCTTAAACCTGTAGCCAGTGTAAAATTAAGACAGCATCCTGCATATGTACACAGGTGTGTGAAAAACAAAGTGTAAAACAGGAATGGAGGAACTGTGGCTCTCAATATGTTGCTGGACTTCAGCTCCCTTCAACAACAGCCAGCATAGTCAAAGGCCAGGAATGATGGGAGTTGTAGCTAAGCCATATCTAGAGTGCCACAGGCCCCATACTCCTGTTTTAAAAGTATGGCCAATTAAAAACAACTGCACTGGTTGCCAGTTCATTTCTGGACTGAATTTAAGGTGCTCAAATTAGTGTTTAAAGCCCTAAATGACTCAGGCCCTGAATAGCTGAAGACCACGTTATTTCCTACAGACCCCTTGGTGTTCAGATCAGCATAGGCAGGCTTCCTCAAACTCGGCCCTCCAGATGTTTTGAGACTACAATTCCCATCATCTCTGACCACTGGTCCTGCTAGCTAGGGATCATGGGAGTTGTAGGCCAAAACATCTGGAGGGCTGAGTTTGAGGAAGCCTGGCATAGAGAGTACTGTCCAACCACCCTCAGATGCTTGGGGGGTGGCCCTGGGGAGAGCATTTCCTGTGGCAGCCCCTATAATGTGGAACTGCCTTCCCAAACAGGTGCATCTTCATTACACAGCTTCTGGTGGATGTGCCTCTTTAGACTGGCTTTTGAGATGTATATTTTGAGAGGGTCTTAAAGCTGCTGAGCCCTGGCTGAGGCAAGGTTCAGCCAGGAAAGCCCAAGATCCATCAGATCCAAACTCTAATCCAACCAGATCATGGGTCTGGATTACATTGTTACTTACCTTACTTAAATTCCACAGAAATGTATAGGATTGTGCTGTCAGTTGAGTTTTATTTCCATTTTGTCCAAAGGCCATAGTAGAAATCTAAAAATGCAAAACATAAAATGGTTAGTTTACACAATGTTACCATGGGCAAAATGTAATCCAAAAGTAGTTGTCCTTGCAGTGATATGGGAGGCATTCACAGTGAAATTCAGTAAAAAGGAGGACAAGATTTAGATTCTGCTAGGCTTCACAATCTCATAAAAAATGAGACAGCTAGCTTTTCAGGTGAATAATTTCAAAAGCTGGGTGTCTCTGTAAAGAGATCCACTATACTTCGGTAAATAAAGGGTCACACACAAAAGAGGATTTCACCTACACTTTAAAGGAATATGGTATTTATTTATATATTGAATAAAGCATGTAAACTAACCCTAACCCTTACTTTCCCGAACTGGATTTTGAAAACAAAGTATCTTTATGTTGCCTATATGTCTATATACATATAGAAACATTAACAAACATTGAGTAACTTTTTTACATGGCTAGCTATAGTAAATGCTCCCATAAGAACTGTGCCTTTCACTCAACACTTCCACAGGTACTTCGGTGATTCAGGTTACAGCTACAGCTCCAACAGGTGCCCGCCTGCTTTACAGTATCCCTTCCGAACAACCCTATTTTTCTGTGGAGCCAACAACAGGTATTGCTGGTTATGGATATAAGACTCTTGAGTATCAGTAATGCACAACATGGGTGTAAAAAACCTGTATAACCAATAATCTCCCTTTGATGTTATATCTGTATTATAATTGGATCTGTATTATAACTGGGTTGGATACAGATTTCATCTAAGATTAAATGCACATAATGGTGCCGCAGAAAGATGCTACCTTTTCCCCATTGTGGCCCCCTTTTCCATGCTCTATTGATGAAGATGAAGGTGGGAGGAAGGATGACTCCTCTTCTTCTTCTTCTTCTTCTTCTTCTTCTTCTTCTTCTTCTTCTTCCTCCTCCTCCTCCTCCTCCTCCTCCTCCTCCTCCTCCTCCTCCTCTTCTTACTGGTTCCTCCATTCTGGGACTTTGTGTGTTTGTTTATAGGGCCCATAGGAGCAGCCCACCCAGTGATCCCAGCTGTAAGAAGTAAAGTTGTGGTCGTTTTCAACCCACATCAGCTTCCATATATGAATTGCTCTTCAAAATGTACCCAGCTGTGTGTGGTGCACAGCTTCTAAATCAACAGATACTGACCCAGATTGCTTTGACTGCACTTCTCACCAGTTGGAGGTAGAGAGTGACTGTCTTTCCCAAACAGGCAACTGGGCTCTTAGAACAGGGAAGGGGAACTTGTGGTCCTACAGTTGTTATTGGATTCCAGGTCCCATCAACACAAGTCTATGTGTTCCGGGATGATGGGAGTTGTAGTTCAATAATCTCGGGGTGTGTGTGTCACAAGTTCCTTAGTCCTACCTTACAGGTCACAGTACTAATTCAGCAGTACCTTCAGATTTCAAAACAGCTGGGGCCATCAGAATACTGTCCTGTAGGCTTCCTTTTCTTTTTGTCCATACAAAGGCAGAGCCAGAGGCTATCCAATCATGGAAACCCTCTGTGCATGCAAAGTGTCCTTTCTAGACTGGGACAATGGTATGATAAAATACTCTCATGTCTTGGTGTCAGAAAAATAGTTTGAACTTTAAGACTCCAGTGCTGGACATGCTTGCCAGGCTGCAGGTCTCATTGACATCTAACTGAGCTGTAAATATTGTATATTTTGCAGGGGTAGTAAGAACGGCTTACCCAATGGACAGAGAAACACAGGATCAGTGCTTTGTTGTCATTCAAGCCAGAGTTGGTGAAGCTGGTGTTCCTACAGCTACCACAACTGTAACTATCAACCTCTCTGATGTTAATGACAATCCTCCTCGATTTCAGCAGAGTGAGTAAAATGTGTCTTGGTTCATTTTTTTTTAAAAAAATGTTGGGAGCAAATTCAGACCAACTAATTCTGATAAATAAAACATATGTTATATGTGAAATACTTTTGTACAAAACTTAAAAATTAACGCTTTTATATTGCATATGTTCCTTGATTAAATGTCATTGTCTCTTTATAACCCATTCAAAGAAACATTGCATTGATAGTATAATTAATGCCAAAGGAAGGTAAACCCAGTGTGTCCAGACTCCATAAGCCATTTCGTTGGAACGTTTATAATTTAGATAAAGGAACTTTGAGAAATGTACTTCTGTGAATTCTTAACTGAGGCATCTAGAACTCTACTACTGCTGCAAATTCAGTCTTTTTACACCAGTTTAAATTTGTACTGTCAATTTTGTCTTGGTAACATAGATGTAGTCCCTATGTTTAAATAGCTATAAAAAATAAAAGCATTGAGCAACCTGTAAAGAAAACACAGTCAGAAAACTGCAACTGTTTCTTCTTTAGTTGCATGTCCATCACCAATGCAAGCAGCTTCTTCATTTGAACAAACAGTTCTCCCAATAGTCACCCTGTGAAAATGTTTAGAGTGTACATGGAGAATCCTGAAAAATTATTTTTCTTCACTGTTGCTTTAGTGCCATGTACCTCTCCACTATGTCTTCCCCTTCCCTGAATGATCCTAACAAAACAGGGATCGCCTAATACATTTGATTATGTAAAAATACCACAGAGCTGCTTAGATTTTACTGCATCACAAAGGCAATTCAGAATAAGGTCCAGGAGCATCGTTTTTATCTTGAATGGGTGTTAGAGAGAGAACCATGCTACAAATATTTTTTCCCCATATTGGTATTTCCCATTGCTGAAAGAGGGAGCATCTCTTTTTGGAGGAGGTAAAACTCACACAAAACATGTTCCCTGCCATTTTGTCTCAGCCTTATCACTTTCTATACAGATATTTAAAATAGAAAGAAACTCTTCCTTTGAACACCTAATAAAATTTCCACCTCCCTTGGGGATAGCAGCCTATATTTTTGTAACTACTGTTGTTATACCAACAAGGATAAAATGAGGTTTTGCTAAGGACAAAAATCCTCTGAGGACCAACTAATTAAGTGATAAATATAAACTGAGTAACTTGGGACCAACACATCTCAGTGCAATCTAGCAGGCAAGGCATAGTACACCTTGGATTTTTAATAACAGAAAATCTGTAATTTATGGTAGTGGTTTTCACTACTTGGATTCTCTAAAAGCTTATCAGGTGTTCCTCAGTTAAAAAAAACCAGTCATGGCAAATGTGTTTCCCTAAAAGACAGACAGCCTGCAATTTTCTCTCCTCTCCTACAATGCTGAAAACACTTTTCTCATATGCAGGGTGGTGCTGAGTATAATTTTGGGTGCACTTTCAATTCAAGTAGAGCAATGGTGAGGTCCAGCAGTCCTGATCAGTACAGTGAATTGTGTGCACATGTAATGACATTTCCTTCAAACCTTCTCCACAGGTTCTTCAAAAGACAAAGTGATCTGGAATGAGCCTCAGAAGGTGGAATGTTTGAAACCCCCATTGCTTTAGGGGAAAACTTTAATTTTAGTGGGTACTAGGTTGCTACTGTGCAATGAAAGCACAAGGAAAAATATTCTAGACATGAGCATCATAAAGTGACCTAAAGACCTCCCCCAGTGTTTTCCTGTAGAGTTTACACAACAACACATCATTAGAGGATGTAGAATGTATTGCTTTCAATACGAAACAACCCACAACTGCTTAGGGACAGTTTCTGGATGCTTAGCTAATGAAATATATTGAGGTATCGTGTTGCAAAGCATCATACATATTTCCAGTCTCCCTTAAAAATGAAGTCAGTCTTGGATGTTTCAGTCACAATTAGTTGTATTTTTCATCTCCCCTCTTTGAAATTGGTTGTTGGACAATTGATATCTCATTGTTCAATTGAGTTTTTGTATTGCACACAAGCAAGCAAGTGAACTTATAAACAACTGGAATGTTGAATTGGCTCATGAATGTTGAAACTCATGAATGGATGATCCAAGTCAAGGCTGCCAAGCTTAACAAAAGAAAATGAGCTTATGACTTTAGCTCCCCCACCCCCAAGCCATACATCTTGTGTAACTGGGCAATTTTCAGAATAAAAAGTGGTCTACATTTAGTTGTTATGTCGGTGATCAAGATTGTGTTGGCAACTTTCTCTGATATTTGGTTGTTTCTTTAAGAGCGTTATGAAATGTATGCATCTGAGGCAGCACCTGTGGGCAGCATCCTAGGCAAAATCAAGGCAGATGACAGTGACCTGGGAGAGAATGCTGCCATGGACTATGTAATAGAAGGAGACACTCCTCACATTGTTCGCATCGTTACTAACAATGAGACTCAAGAAGGAACTGTCATATTAAACAAGGTGAGACGTCAGCCATTACTTGACAAAGAAATGTCACAGAAATCACTGAAACAGACAAGATTAAGTACGTTTGCTTGTTATAGCCTTGTGTTGTTGGTCATGATAAAATATCAATGCAATATAAAGGGCTGTTGTTTTGAAGAAGAAAATCTTCTCTCAGACGTATGCCAAACTCCGACATGATCCAGGATAGATTGGCTGCATGCAGAAAAGTATGGCCCTAGACCCACACAAATTAATGAGACCAAACATGGGACAGTGGCATTTTAATTAATACAATACCTTGCAGGAACGACAAATCAAATTAACCACATTCAGAAACTGTGGTCAGCTGAGAATTTTGTCTATGGTAGGGAAGCATCCCTCCAGACCCCTGGGTATGTGATACAGCTGCAGGTTGTGGTTCCCCAGCAAAGGATGAGGAGGAAACAATGCCTTTTTTGCTGGGTGAGCCTTGAGTATGAGTTCCCCATGTGTACCCAGGCCCTGTTGCCCAGTGTCCAACCACAATATGCATGTCAGGTATACAGGGCACCTCCCCAATGCCACCACACCTAAAACAATGGTGGATCCCTAAAGTGGGCCCTTAACCTGGTAATGCCTCGATATACCTAAGGTTTCCCCCCTCAGCTTCCTCACATGCCCAGGCTCAATGCTCCATGAGCAGCTAATCTATGCTACTCCCCAGAATGCCAGCCAAATTGTTCCCAGTGTGGAGTAGGCAAACAAGGAGGTACCTTAATGGGCAAACCCTGCTCAGCTTCTTCTAAAAGGCACCTAGCCAAAGCCCACACTGCATATAGGGAGGGAGCATACAGCAAAATGCCAAGAGGAAGAGCTCAGGGGAGGAGCAGACTCCTAAAGCCAGGCTCCAGCCCAATGACTGATCATCAAAAACACCAGGAAACTAAAGGAGTAAACTTAATAGTGAAAGCAAAGAGAGGCAAGGCAAAGATGAACCATTAATATGTTTATTGTCTTTAATTCTACACTTATTATTGGTTTCCTAATGCTGAATGGAAAATATTCTACTCCCCCCCTTCCTTTTCTTACATACAGATATTGGATTATGAGAATCAAAGCATATATAATATGAAAGTGAAAGGTGTCAACAGGCACATAGATGAGCGCTTCCTGAAAGATGGGCCATTTGAAGACACAGCTTCTCTTAGGATCAGAGTGAAGGATGTTGATGAGCCTCCCATTTTCACGTTAGATGAATTTGTGATGGAGATTGATGAAGGGGATCTGAATGATTCATTTGTAGGAGTTGTGAGTTCCAGAGATCCAGACAGTGTCAACAGTTCAATCAGGTGCAGCTTCAAGAGATCCTTCTACAGCTGAGATTGTCATAGATTATTGAATAACACTGAAGACAACAGCTCAAATCTTGACCTGTATGTTCTGTCTGAGAGGTGTATGGCACTTCCCCATTAATTCAGTTGAGGCGCTCCTGTTTGTGTTTAAAATGGTGCATTTATGGAGCTTTGTTTCCCTTAAATACAATGGCAAAGCCTTGCAATAGGGAGACCTCTGTGTGCATATCCAGACTCTGCACATTCAGTGTTTAGTTGCACATTTGCTGTTTGGAAATAAGTGCTGATTTATACATATAACTGCAATTTATAGTTTGTGAAGTAAAGTGAATCCTGGGAAAGAAAATGGGCTTATTAAACAATACAAACATTTTGAAACAGAGTTACTTCTCATGTTTTCTTGGCTGCCACAAATCTGATAAAAATTACTTATTTGGACAGGTATTCTGGGATGTATTATTTCTTTCAGTAGTAGCTGCTTTTAATGGGTTATCTAATCAGGAGTGGCACATCCCATTTTGCCATCCAATTTAGGTAAAATGGGAAGTGCTGCCCTGCTGCTGCCCTGCCCACCCCACTGGCAGAGAAGCACCAGCAGCAGCAGCACTGATTTTGAAAAGATCTCGCCAAAATTTCATGAGATCTCATGCACTCTGCAAAATCTCATTATAGGGGTCCCTATCATGGGACCTGTCAGTATTTCCAATAGTATCTGCAAAAGATCTCAGTAAATAATTCATCAAAAATCCACAACATATGAGATTTGCCATTCCTGCTCAGTTCCTATTTGCACTGGCCCAGCCTCTGTGCCAATGAACATGTCATCTGAACAGAGGAGAAGTCCCAATAATTTATCTCAGTGACTGAGATGGATTGTGGTGGCTGGTGTAGGTGCCTTTTCTTCATTGATGAGGTGCATGCCCACACCATTTTATGGTCTTGTTCCATTTTTTTTCTGTTGTTTTAGTTGTGGCAAGCATTATGCCATATCCCCATGGCAGCCATTTTGTGTTACACTTTGCACCTCTCTGCAAACAACAGCATTTTCTTAAAATGTCAAATGACCCCATGTTTGGTGACGCCTGCTTTAAAGTAAGCCATTTTTTAAAAAAATGATCTTTGAGTGCCCCCTTTCCAAGGGTACAGAATAACTATATATTTAAAAATATATAAAAATTCCATCTATAAAATATCCAGTTTTTTGTTTTTTGGGAGGGGGTGCTGGAAGACTGTAGGGAAGCTAAGAAGGAGGTCTTTTAAGTAGGAAAACCTTATTCTGCCTTACAAAACAGTTTGTGAAAAGCAAGCCCAAAGGTCTTTCCCCCCACTTCCGGCAACACCATTTTCTGACCTTTTCTTTTTATTTTATGGAAGTGGGATACATACTATCAAAGAGGCTCTTTTCAGCTCTTCCTCCTTTGCTCTGCTTCTTTGACACTGCATCAAGCCAACCATGATGAAATAAATGTACGGTTATATCCCAACTAAGTTGCCAGTGTTACTCATTTCACAAGTGGCACTTCGCTGTTTCTTTTGAATTGAGTCACTCACCTGCTGTGAGTCTGCCTGCGCAATGAGAATGAATAATGCATTTTAGATTTGGTTCACATTAATATAGGTCTGAGGCATATTTAGTTTCATAGAAAGAAGCGCTTTGATCTTGGTAGCAGTGAATTTTAAATGTTTATTAGTGTACATTTTTCATGATTTCTGAGCAGCTGGAGAACACATCCATATTCATATCTACACCACTCTCCTTTCTTCACTGACAATAGCTTATATAGCCTTGTTTCAGAAGTACCATTTTTGTTCAGTTCTTAAGAAAGTCTCCATCTCCCCCTTCCCTACTTTGATGTGCAGGTATTCTATTGTCCACAGCAAGCATTTAAAGGGATTTTTCAGCATCAATGCACACAATGGAACAATCAGTATGACCAAACCTCTGGACCGAGAGATAGCGGCTTGGCACAACATAACCATCTCAGCCACAGAATCAAGTGAGTAAGACTTTAAGGAACCCTATGCTTGAGCGATGGCATGAATTCCTTGCAATTATCTTCAGTATATCTCTCCTTTCTGAACTGAGAAAATAAGCTACTTTTTCATTATTTCACCATTGCTAGCTAACATTATGTAGCATTGCTAAAATGATTAGTTGGAAGCCAAATAATGTTTGATCTCCCAAGTCTTGGGTTCTCATAAAATATTATACCATTTTTAAAAAAGAAAATAATGGAAACTAAAACAGTTTTAAGTTACACCAAAGCATATAAAACTGCTCTCCTGGTACAAGATCTTATGTTAAATTAGACCCCAGTTAATTTCACAGCAGATTTTTTGACTGGTATGAAATTAGCCAGGGTTTAATTTAACGCCAGTCAGAAACCTGTGTCTCAAATTAATTGTGAAAGCAGGGCTTTAATCAGCTAGACTTCCATACAGTTGCAATTAAATCAGGAAAGCATACCTTATATAGATATCACCTGTCAGTTTTGTCTCAAAATCAAATGCAAATTGCCTCGTTTGTGCTCTCACTTACAGGTCACCTTGCCTTAGGGAGGTAATTCCAAAAAATCAAAAATGTAAATCTGGAAGAGTGTGCCAGAAACTTAGTGCCTAGCAATAAAAAGAGTAAATGAAAACCACAAGGGAACAATTTCAGATAACTTGAGATTGTCTTGTCAAAAAGATGAGCTGTGGGCTTTTCATTATAAAGGATAATGCACACACAAATTAAATTATACCAAAATAAAAATTACTTACAGCATGGAAAAACTATACAGATTTTTTAAATAGAATCCTAATAGATTTTAAACTGAGTTCAGTTTAACTCAAAATAATATAGCTCATTTTTTCCCTTCCACCTTGCAACATTCCAACATATCATGTGAAATTTCGAATCTTCATTTTCACTTTTGTTCTGTTTCCTTTAAAACAACAACACAGAATGACAACAAAGAGATCTTTTTTGTGCAATATCCCAAATAGTATTCAGTAGTCTGTTATCTGTCTCTACACATCTCTCATCTTTTTTCTGAAATCGCAAATTCTCACAAAATTCCAATTTTAGAAAATCTCAGATTGCTGTATGCAATAATTTATAGGCACTGAAAATCAGAATAGATTTAGGGAGCAATCCTATGCACAAGAAAAGTGAGCCAGCATAAATTAAGCTGGCATAAATTTATACCAGATCCAGACCCCATTCAGCAGTGGGGCTGCTGCTGCTGCTCTGCCTAAGCCTAGCAGAGGTGAGAGACTTCCAGCTGGGTTGCTTGGTCTTGTGACTGAGCTGAATGGGCTTAGGTTGCAGCCTAAATCCTCCTTTTCTGCACAGGCTGGAGAAGCTTGTGGACGTGGGATTCGGCTGGCACCTTTTGCGCCTCCCCTACTCGCGGGGAAACCCGGTTTCGGGGATCCGGAGCAACGTGGGGTGAGTGGCGCAGTGCTTCGAATCGACTGCTTATTTCACGGAGTGAAGCCGCATTGCTGTTGCAGGAGAGCGCTGACTTTTTCCTGTAGACAATTTGATCTTAAAACAACTACCCGTGAGTAGAACAGAAAATTGGATCTTTAAACGTCTTAATTTGGCACCGAAATGGGGAGGTTTCAAACAGGAAGTCTGCCTCCCCCTTTTGTAAATAGATTGAAGCAAAGAGGCTGCAAGCTAAAGCCTTGGAAAGTCTCACATAAAGGATTAAACTTCCATCGGTTAAACCATCAAATCCACCTTGGAAGCAGGAGAAGAGGGGGGAAATTGAAGATCAGGTAAGCCTGCAGGAGAGAGTGAAGAAAGTCAAATTACCACCGCTCTGAACCTGGAAACGGGCTGCTAGTAAAGATTGAAGTTTCGGATATGCTCATTGACTGTGAATAGATCGTCTGCTGACAGTAAGTTAAAGAAGAGAATAACATTGTTTCCATTGTCTCCTTCTGCATTTAAAAAGGAGTAAAAGTAAATGAAAATTGAAACTAACTTTATTGTTTGAACTGTGCTTAAAAGGATTGATACAAATAGAAATTGTTTCCCCCTAGAGGAAGCCTTTGAAATTGTTACAAGAGCTGAGCTGGGGGAATTTTCCACCTGCAAGATAAAACTGTGAGAATCTGGGATTGACCTTGAACTGTTAAGAATATTGACAGAAGAAGCCTTAGTGGTTGCATTTTGTAAGATTAATGATTCACTGGAACAGCTTTATAAGAAGACGGATGCGAGGACTATAAAAATTGATAACTTGGAACAAAAAGTGACTAATTTGGCACAAAAAGTCAAGATTAATACAGAAATTATTCAGGAATCGATACAGGGATCTATTTTGACATGGCAAATTGAGAAGGCGGGGGAGAAAGTTTTTGCTGTGGAACCTAAAGCGGCACAAATGGTGAGGGAGAGAACTCCAGCCTTACAGTTGCAATTTGATGATTATAAGTTGATGCCTTCCAAGACTGAATTCAGAGAAAGTCAGACTTTTAGGATTGGAGCCCCGCTTGGACTGGAGATTGACCTTTGGGACCTGGACTTGGGTCAGAAGGAGACTGGAGTTGTGGGGACTGCCAGACTTGGAGGAACTTTGAAACACGACTGGAAATATCTTTTGAATTTCAGTTCTAATTATGGAGATTTGGCCGACTTGTCGAGAAGGAATAAAAACATTGCTAGATGGGAATTTCCCGGAGATCTACTTTTCAGCATCAAAGGAAGGAAAATAAGAACAAGATCAGGAGAAGACAAAGTAAAGTGCATGTATAAACATGAAGAAGACTTGCAGAAGGGACCTGGAAAAGAGTTAAGAGCCTCGGACAGAAGATCACCAGGTTGATGGGCTATTTGGAATTGACGGAAATGACTGGCAGAACCCGAGACCAGGGAGAAGAGACGGTGGAAGAATATTGGAAAAAGTTTAAAATCTATATATGGAAATAATGTAAAATTAATGAGTGTTAGAAAAATGTTGGAAGGGAATTATATGGCTTTAGTAGAAATATTTTAAGGAATTAAGTATAAATAAGTATTATAGTATTAATGGAAAATAAGGTTAAAATATGTTAAGATAATTACATGACAGAAAATAGAGAAAGATGGAAAGGATTTGCTGAAACAATTAATAGAAATGGAATACAAAAAGGAGGTGAGAGGAGGTCGATGAAACAAGGGAATGAAAGAGAGGATATTGAGATGGTATGATGTGTGTTTTTTTGAATTGTTTTTGCTTTTGTCTTGTTTAATGTGTTAATGTTAAAGCTGCGTTCTGTATTGTTTATATATTGTATTGTATTGTATTGTTTTCTCTTTTGCTTTTTTTTTCTTTTCTTTTTTCTTTTCTCTTTTTTTCTTTTTGTAAGGTATAAAAGTAATAAATATTATTTTTTTTAAAAAATAAATCCTCCCTTTCTAGTCCCACCCCACTATGCCCCTGGAACATCCCTGTTGGGGGACTTACTGAGTCCTGAATAGAATGAGCAAGTTACAGTGGTGTATCTTTGGCTAAACCAGGGTTGGGGACTTAACTGTAGCTGAACCACTGCATGCTAAACTGCTCATCGCAGAGGATCTTGATACAGGATTGCCCCATTAGTTGCAGACATCTTTAATAAGTACAGTTTCCCAATACCTGTGGCAGAATTAGTATATTAGGAAAGTTGGTTGTGCAGCGTGCATACAATTTTCATCCCTTGCTGACCAGGAAAGCTACAGATTACTGGGAAAAGCCTGGTTGTCTGAAACTATCTAGAGATAAACTATCCAGAAAGAAGTTCTATACCTGTATGCTAGCTTTTATTTTGTTGTTCAGCTGGGAAGTGATAGTTGCCATATTAATTTGGTCAATATAAAAAAATGCATTACATAAGATAGAAAATCTAGTTTGAAATTTTTGTTCTCCAGAGGTTTTTCCAAAAATATTGAATTAATTTCTGTAATCCTACCCTCATGTCTTAAAAGCAAGTCACATTAGTTGTTATCAAACACTGGCACAGCTAATTGGGGAGAAGAAGAAAATTCCTCTTTGGAACAGCAGGTGTTATGATAAAAGAGCCTAAAACATTTTGTTCAAAACAACAAAACAGAACTATTTGACATTATTTGTTGTGACAAAATGTCACAAAGGCCTTTATTCAAAATATGGGCTTTATTTTTGCTTTTAATTTTATTCATTATGAATTTTATTCATTTATTCATTATAGCAGATTTCGATTGGCATGACTGACCTTGTCAATATGTCCAAGTTTTACAACCAGTTCCCGCAATCCCTTTCCTCTTTTCAACATAAGGGAAAATTAACCTTTTCTGCTTTTTCTAAGCAATGATATGTTGACTTGTGGAACAATATCCAAAGACTAAGAAAATCCCATGAATAAATAAAACTGTTGAAGATAGCCAATGGAGAGAATTTTAGATTTCATTTACTTGTACAAGTAAAGACAAAAAATGGCTTTATCAAGTACTTCTTGAAAATTAAGCTTATTTAAGTGTGGGACTGCGAATACTCTGTCATACCTGTCTTAAGCAAAAGATTCATTTGTTCAAAAGCATTTAAAATTATCATATCTTCTGTAAAAGAATTGCTAGAAAGAAGGAAAGTAAGAAAGTAAATTCCTTCCTTCAGTGGTTCTGGTTTTCAGTTATTTTATTTCACATTTGTCCATATCTCAGTTATTGCTTACTCAGTTCACTTACCTACAACATTTGTCTTAAGTCACATCAGGGAATATTTGTTTGGGGTGTTTATTCTTTCGTGGCTCTTTCAAATAGGTAATTTGCCGCTTGCGCTGATCAAAGGAGGAACTTGCCTAAATGAACTCATCACATGCTCTAGAATCTTGTACTGTATGTGACTCAGTCACAGGTAGTCATGGAATGCTAAGCGGTTACCCCTATTGAAAACACTGTATCAGCACAGTGGATAATGCTATGCCAAATGACTATTATTATTATTTTTATTTCATTGTGACATATAATAATATGCAACAGTCATACTATTTGTTCCTGAAATCAAAGGCACAGTATGTCTCACAGGAGAGGTGTTCTCTTTTTTTCAATAGTCACGTCTTCTAGAGCTGAACAAAGCATTTTAATGACAAAATTATATATCATACTACAGGGTCGCACAATAGACTATGAGCTGCCATTTTTGCCTTTTATTTATACTTATTTTTGTTTCCTTTGCTTCAGTGAACCCAAAACAAATATCGAAAGTGAATGTCTATATCCATGTTCGTGATGTTAACGAACATGCGCCAGAATTTTTGGATTACTATGAGACATATGTGTGTGAGAATGCAGGTTCTGGACAGGTAAGATGAAAAAGTCTTGTTGATCTCTTTTCCTCCCTGCTGAGATCTGCCAGTGCTCATCCTTTCCTGGCTGCCTGAAATCGTGTAAGATTTTCTTATTTGGACAGGTACTCTGGGATGAATGATTTCTTTCAGTGGCAGCTGATTTTAGTGGTTCATATCATTGGAGTACTTCTCCTTTCCAGTCCACCACAGGAGGTAAATGGAGAGTGAAGCCTTGCTTTGACCTCAGTCTTGTTGCATCTCCTCATCTGCATTGCTTTCTGTTTCACTTTTGTTATCACTGTGGGTGTTTGTTGACCGCTTCTTTGGATGGCCATGAGGAAAAAAATCAGTCATATGATCCTGGGTTTTTCATCAGTGCTTGGCATCCCTTTAGATGGGTCATTGCTCTGGACAGGTGTTTCATTGTCCACTGTTGAAACTGGAACTTATATATTGGGACAGGTATGCAAATTTTGAAGAAGAAATGGAACTGGTAAAACTGTGAAATGAGACAAAAACAGAAACTGGCTCTGTAATTGATCTGCATTGTCTTCTTACCTTCTACCTGCTTCATTCCCTGTCCTCTCAGTGCCAGGTTTCCATAATGCTTGTTTGTGTTGTTAATAAGAGCTGTAGTCCTTTTCTTTCTATGTGTCTGTCTGCCACCCTCCTCTCGTATTCTCTCCTGCAAGCACAATATTACTGTGCAGGTTCAAAGTTGTGGCTGACATTCATCAGCTGTGAAACTGAAATATAATGTCATAGCTCATTTTAATCAGATACAGTTGATGAGAATAGTTCACGTCCACCATCACCGGCTACCATTCCAATTACTGTCACTGAATCCAAGAGTCCCCTAGACTACTCACCAGATATCCAGAGGAGGTTGAATCTAATCACTAACATGAATCCTCCTATCTTCTGTATATCTCCTGCTTATGATTCACTCAAACTTAGGACTAGCTACTCAGGATGTTAAAGGGGTGGCTTGCAGGAATGTCAGGTTTTTTTTAAAAAATTGGAATTGGAATCAGGATTGAGACCACAGTACATAGAAAGGGGAGGTTTAACCCTTCTATTTTGACCAGAATCCTGGGGGGGGGGTCCACTATTCAGTGGTTTAAACTTTTAAGATGAGCCAGTCACTTTTATGATCATTCTATACCAGTTATTTACCTCCTTTTGTTAATCCTGGTGCATGCCACCTTGGGATTTTTTTAATGAAACGTGGTATATAAATATTTTGATTTAAACATATAATGTCCTGTGTACTAATCCTGTACTCCAGCTTCTAATGGTTCACCAGCTGTATCCAGTCTACATCTGGGTCAGACTTTTTAAAGAAAGAAGTAAGAGCAGTATATTAAAGACATACCACTTAGCAGCCTCATGTTTATCTTGTCTGCAAAGAGGGACATGATAAGATCTCTCAAATGCCTGTTAGCTTCCGCAGAAACATCACCAGCATCTCATAATAACCCATGGTATTGAAAGCTGATGCACAATGAGCAGAGAATGTGTATTGATCACTCTATAAGGGCACAAACCTCATACGAGTGCCATCGTGATGAAAACAAGAATTGTGGGGGCCCTAGAAACCAATAACAATGCTATTCAGGTGAATCATAAATGCCAAGGTCACCACACAATACATCAACATTGCCAGACACGCAGCAGGTGGGCCAGAAAACTGCAGGTTTTAGACTGTCTAGTGTTCTCCCTTTTAAAAGGGTAGCACGTATATTTTCAGTCACTGTGCCAGCTTCTTCCAAGCAAATCCTTTCCTAGTGTCTAAATAATGTGAAATTGGGCCTTATGAACAGCCAGGAGCATGTCCCATTTCATGTATGCTCTTCCTGACCAATTTCTGAAGAGGAGAAATAATGTGAACTGGGCCTTCATAGGTTGTGTGCTCAAATAGAGGGTTTGTTTCACACTGAAGACTAATTCCCTAGTGAAGGGGATAGACTCAAGCCCAGTGGCAACTGATGTGCACTAGACCTGTTGGGACTTCTAAGAGGTCATGTGGTGTGGCATGTGAGAGGTCACAGGGGCATAGCCAGGTACTCAGTTTCCCCCCTTGCAAATATATTCCAGACACTTAAGAATTGCTGTTTATAAATAGGCAGCACCTAACCAAACGGAAAAATGTCATATATATTTTTCAGAATTGTTCTATGATGGGAAAGAAAGTTGTGTAACATCCACCTGTTCTGGTTCTTCTCATTTCCTTCTTCTTTGCAGGGAAACCGTAGAGACTTAAAACATTGTTGTTTCATCAATACTTAGCACCTAAATGAGCAGTTGTATAGGGGTAAGCAGGGTTAAGATTCAGTGGATGTCTGGTTGAGTCAGGAGGTTCTGGAAATTTGTCCAGAACCTCCTGGTTTGGTCAGACTAAGCCCTGGTTGCCCTACCTAATGGAACAGCATCTACTGATATTTCTCCAACAATATCTCAGCACTGATCCTGACCAAATATATGAACCAGGGCTAAGATTTCATGAAGCCCTCTACATAGTTGCTTCAAGCCCCCAAACCCATCCCGAATGGAAATAAAGACACAGTGGAGACAGAAATTAGTTTAAATGTTAATGGGCAAATTTTGGCCACAACTTTATTAAAATACACAAATGTGACTGGCATTGGCTTAGGCATTGGTATCAAACTATATCTGGCTCCTGCTCCACCCTGCAGGAAGTCTGGAAGGGTAAACAACCAGCAGGGGGATCTCCGTCAGTGTATATTGACTGGTGCTCACCCCTGGGGTTTCCAGGGGTCCTGGCATGGCCCTAGCCCCTCTCGGACGAGCTCCAGACCCCCAGATTCCTTTAATGGAATACCCTATTCATTGGAGGGGCAGGTGATGGCCACACCTCCCCTCCCCACATTACCCTAAACCAATGCCTAACTGCCAAACCTTACAAAGTTGTGACAATTGCAAAGAGGTAGGCAAAAACCAAGTGGCCACAGCCAATCTGCCACATTGGAAAAAATTCCTACCTGGCCCCCATTCCAAAAACAGGCAACCAACCGAAGTCCAAAGCAAGGCCGAACACAACCTAATTAACGGGTGGGTGGGTGTTCAGCAGGGCAAAGCAAAGGGAGGTCCCTATGTCGTGCTGCCAAATAGATACCCCCAACTCCCAACCTTACCACGCTGCTAATTGGATAAAGGCCATTGGCATAACTGTGGCACCACTGGCTTGGAGCGGGGCAAGCCCTGCCCACAAGCTGGTTAGGGAAGAGTTTCAGGGCCGAGCACAACATGGACCCTCTGTTAGGAGGATCCAACTTACCTTAAAAGTAAAAAGAGATTCTTTGTTAATGTGGCTTACATCTGTTCAATCCAATGTAGGAGAGTCCATTTGTAAAATTCCCAATAAAAATCACTTCCATAGAAATTTTGTTTAGTATTTATCAAGATTCTGGAAGGAAAGCTGCATTTAGTAAAGTGATTGCATCCTCTTTTTGCCTTTATTGTGACTTTTGGGTGCTCTTGAACTTTTTGATTTACCCTCTGGCAATGGGTCTCTCTCTATATGTAAGTCCTTGGGACTATCATATGAAAACATAACTTGGTAATAAAAACTAAATGTAAAAGGAGATTGATTTTTCCATAACTCTATCCATCATGCTTACCAGACACTTTAAATAGATTTCCATTATACTTTTCATGTCAGTGCTCCACACCTTCCACAAACCCAGGCATCGGCTGCACAATAGCTGACTTTTTCTTACACAAACCAAGTCCAGCGCACTCCTAGAGTTGGATTCATTGGTCTGTAAAACACTTCAAAACAGGATGTGCATGAAAGGAACTCAATAAAATGAAAGTCTAATCCTTTGATAGCCATCAGATGTAACAGAATAATACCAGTAAATTGTGTGTTACATTTACATGAATTTACACTGCCTCTCTTCAGCTCTCAGAGCAAACTATAAAAGCCTGGGAAATATGATCAGATTAAAACCTGACAAAACAAAGATCTTTTTTAATTAGCTCCACACTGTACTTTAACTGATTTATTATTCCCTGTCATTTCTATAGTTCTTAAAGTGCAAAGTAATTATGCCATTCACCTACACAACACACACATGTAAGACTCCCATCTTATAAATTATGCTGGTTGCTAAGATTCTCATTTGATAGATGCAGGGTTTAGGTCTTTCCCAAGTCCTTGTGCAGCAGAACTTTGAATTAACATCCAAACAACCTGTAGAGTATTTATCGCTTATAAACTGCTCCTAAGGTTCAAACTACATGCAGGGGTCACAAACTTGGATCTGCCTAAGTGGCAGAGTGTGTGATTTAAAGTACCAAGCGGAGAAATGGGTGAGACAGAGTGAAGGAACATGCACACAAAACACACCATTTTACTATGTACTTTCCTTTCCCAGGTTACTTTTTTTCTAGTAAAATGTCTCATATCTGACCAGAACTAGGATAAAAATGACTTTGGGGTGGACTAAATTATCACTTGCCCTTTCCTTTAACATGATCAAGGTAGGTTTGAGTCTGCTGTTATTTGGAGACACATGTCTTTGGCTCTCTAGTCCGTTCTGGGATAAGACTTGCCGCAGTAAAGCATAAACGTTCAGGACAGAGCAGTTGTCAGTTTGCAAATAAATCCTATTGCTTTTAGTTGTGCTTACTTCCAAACAAGGGTGCCAGAATGGCGGCAATATATCCAGCAATATAAAAGGGGACCAAATTTATCTTAGACGCTACAGCAGAATTAATCTGACTCAGTCAGAATTACCACAACCTGGTTCTGACCTAAAAAAGATTGAAACGTTCTGCTTCAAATGTGTTTGTAGACAAGTAAGTAAGCAAGCCGAGCAACATTTGTTATTGTGTATTATATGTAGGGCTGAGCCAGAAGGGAGTCTCTCTCTCTCTCTCTCTCTCTCTCTCTCTCTCTGACACACACACACACACACACACACACACACACACACACACCTTTGCTAGAATTGGAAGAAGTAATACACTTTCATCATTTGTTCAGGATAAATAAAAAAAGTTTCATTTTTGATCCCTGATAGTTTGTGATCCCTGATTGTTTAGGATTGTGCAAATGATTTGTACAGTGAGCATTGCTTAAATGACCTTCATTTGCCCTTAGGGATGTCAGACAATAACCCAAAAAGGTTGGCTGCCTAGTATTTTGGCATTCAATACATGATCCCAGATGGCTTGGATTACTTGCACTGGAATGAAATGGGGGGGGGAGAGATATGGGCAGCAAATAAGCTGCAAAGTGGAATGCTAAGGTGAATGTTTTGATTAGCCAATAAAAAAGGAACACAGATTATGTGGGGCATTGGTCCTCAAACCATGGATTTCAAGCTGAAAAAGAAACATGAGGGACACCTGTTGTTGTTGTTGTTGTTGTTGTTGTTGTTGATGCTGTTGCTGTTACCAGTCACATTTTATAACTGTTTGATTTCAGGGCCAATTTAAGCATTATGTTATTGCTCTTTAAAGCTCCCAATGGCTTGTAAGCAGTTTGTGTGCCCAGGCTGAGACCCCCTGACCCCATGCGACACCTGGGTGGAATAATGACTCGTGACAACGTGTTATGGGATTAAAATTGGCCGCAACTTTATAAAACTTTCAGATGTAGGAAGACCTTGGCTTTGGCACTGGGTGTTTATCCCTCCCAGTCCCCGTCCGGGGATCTGGGGCACATCAGGGTTAACCAATCTGTCTGGGGATTGGGCTGGCTTTGGAAGACGTATGTTTAAGCAGAGAGGCCCCCTCCCCATTTCACCACAACACAGGGGAGTGCACTGACAACCTTTCAGCGTATGGCCAGTGACTCCCCTCAACACAACCCCTTTAATGGGGAACCCTGGGATTGCCACCATGGGGGGGGGCGCATGTGTGTCACCGCTTCACACACACACCATTTAGGGAAGATAGATTAAAGGATTCCAGCCAAGGCCTAAAACTGCCAAAGTTGTAACATTTTGCTACGGGGAAGGCAAAACCTGCCAATGCAGGGGAAATTCCTTCCCGGTCCTTTCATGGCAACCATTGTAAGACTGCAGCAGCGCTCGCATACCTGTAAAGAAGAAGCCAACCTGCAATAAAAGGCCTAAATGAAGGGAGGATAGGGTGGGTGAAGCTCTGGAGCCGACTGAGAGCTCCCAGGTAGGCTCCACCCTCTTTTATGCTTAAAGAGTGGACCCTGCCCTCACTTGGTCCGCTCCCCTGGCTCCGCCTCCCCAGTCGTGATTGGTTATTTGAACCGAGGTTTGGCGAGAACCTCAAGGTTCGCGACTTGGGGAGGTGGTCCAGAAGTGCTCTGCCAGAAGTCACATAGGATCAGGGGTACTGGGCGTGGGCACACAAAAGGCGCCCTCCGTTTGATGTGGAGAGCGGTCATTATTGGAAGAACTGCTTACATCCATATGTACCTGACCAAACTTGTTTATCACCATATGTTGCTAGTTTACTAGTGAAAATGATTCAGTTTGTAAGTAACATGGATCAAGCCTTCTTCGTGGTGGCTCTGTTTTGCCAGAGTGCCCTCTACTCTCTCCATTGCCTTTTACGGTTTTCGTAAAAACTTTTTTTCAAAAATTAGTTTGCATTGGGATGATTTTGTAGTTGTTTCATCTAATAACTGGTTTATCTGCTGCTGTATTTTAATCATTCTTACTGCTATTTCAGATCTTGAACTTTTATGTATAGTGCATTTTTTAAAAACCCAGCTTGAAGACAGTATTCAATGTTCTCACACCCTTGGAGAGCATGAAATCCATGAAAATGGTTTTTTATAAAAGCATTTATATATTATCCTCTCAAAAAATATCAGGGTGGTGCATATCAGTACACAAACCTTTAAAAAAACCCTTTAGAAGTATTACAGAAGAATCATTAAAATGAGTGGCTACTCAATAATTCTTTTAATAACCAACAAAAGAAAATAATAACAACAATAATAATAGTAGTGTATCCCTGCTATCTCGTGGACATTACAGTTGCTTTGCATGAAGGAAGAATAATATTTTTTTTCTGAGGGTGAGATACTATGTTTACTTGTATCTTTCTGAAATAATACTGTCCTCTCTAATACATATTTATTCTGGCACAAATACCTGCAATTTGTGTATCATCTGTGAATTGACTTTGATGCAGCAATTTACTTGACCATTTACTTATTAGCTCGTAAAGTGGCTGAATGTGTATTTTGCACTTTGAAACAGAGATAGCAAGGCAATACATATTTACCCAGCACTTAGCATAAAATAAAATAGTCAGCAATTACAGTCAAAGTGAAAGCTACTTACTTGACATTAGTTCTCTATAAAAGAGAGATAATGCTACAAATGCCAGGAAAAATAACAGCTTGAATATAATTCAACCATTTTTTAAAAAATATATAACTAGGGAGGCATTCTGTATAAATTAAAACAATATTGATAATCTATATGTAGTGGATCAAAAAAAGAAAAAGAAACAATAAGTGAAAAGTATTGGAAAATGTCAGCAGAGACCAGTTGTTTTATTTACATGCACTTCTAGACCATGGGAAATTTGATCCCTAATTGTGAAATTCCTACCTGTTTTTATGTAGGAAGATGAGAATGAAGATAATATTTTATAAAACAAGCAAGGGTCCATATGAACAAGTAGAACATGAAACAAAATGCTGCAGACTGAAGTGCTATTATTCAGAGCAGGGATAGATTTAGGGGAGTGTAACCAGTTTGGTCACTGTAGGCGATGTCACAACCATTTTTGCCATTCCACTGTTCTTCCCCTTTTGGGGATTCCCCCTCCTACACACCTTAGTGTTTTGCTGTTGTTTTTCTGCAAAGTTTGGAATTTCCCCCAGACGTGCTAATATGACTCTCTTGTGTGTGGATGTTGCATCTTTGGCTATCGGAAGATCTACACATTGCAACTGGCTTCACTAAGACTTTATAGGATTTGCCAGAAGACAGCAAGCCATTTAAGGAGGGTGTTCATCTGAATATGTGAGGGGCAAATGGAGTCCTATGGCTTCGGGCCAAGCTTCCTCACCCAACCTGTCCCCAGTGTGAATGTACCTTCTGGCCATGCACCCAGTGGCTGTGCATTTAGGTTTAGTGAGGAAGGTACCCCACAGAGATTCACACAGAAGACTCCTCCAGTTCTGAGAACCCTTAACAGCAGGCTTCCTCAAACTCAGCCCTCCATATGTTTTTGGCCTACAACTCCCATGATCCCTAGCTAGCAGGACCAGTGGTTAGGAATGATGGGAACTGTAGTCTCAAAACACCTGGAGGGACAAGTTTGAGGAAGCCTGCTTAACAGGTTCCCCAAAGGGTGTGGGAGCTGTATTCATCTAAAGCATGGATTGGCAAACTAAGCCCCGCGGGTTGGATCAGGCCCGATTGCCTTCTAGATCCAGGCAGCCAGCATAGTGCACATGCATGATGGTTTTTGTGACTCAGCCAGGCTCGGGGGTCAAAAGTGAGATGGGCAGCTGCTCAAGACAAGTCCCTTCTCTGTCTATCATGTGCGCGCAGCAATCTTTTCTTCCGGGGTGGAGGGTGGGGAAGAGGGGAAAGGAGCCACAGTTCAGATTTTCACCATGGAGCTGCCGGTGACTGACCTCAGAAAGGGTAGTTGTGGTGGTAGGGGCTCGGAGGCGCCTCAGGAGCAATGCCCACCAGTGTCTGTAGTGGCAGTGCTCCCCACTGGAGGAAGCGGTGAGCGCCTGGGCGGCTGCACTCCAAAGCAATTCTGCGCTCTGCTGGAGAGACTGCTCGTTAGCTACATGGTGCAAGCCATGGAAAGGTAAATAGCCACCACCTTGTATTCCCTCACCTGGGGAAAAGAACGTTTTAGCTTGAGCGGCACCAGCCTGACTTAGCGTGGCCAATGGCTTTTCTCTTCACCCATGCATGCACACACACTCAACAGGAATGGCACACTTACCTCAGCCCCCCACCCCCCACCTTATGAGAGAAATAATATCTGTCAACACGAAAAATGCAAAGGAAGCAGCATGGGTGTATGAGGCACCCCCCCCAAAAAAAATAACATTTGGGCAATGTGGGGGTTGATCCCAATAAGTTTTTTTGCCAGAAATGCGGGTCATAGTCATGGCAACATATAGTCCGGGCCTCCACAAGGTCTGAGGGACATGCTACAATAATCTGATTGGTGGAACCTCGGGGCCACAGGATGGCGTCTGATAGTTGTTTGTGACAATATATTGGCAGCCATCTTGAATTTAAAGAAGTTCTTATGTGGGAGTGATTAAAAGAGATGGATAGATCATTCTGTTTCTGATTTGTGTCAGTTTCACATGTGTTAATATTTCTGTCCCATTCCATTTTTGCATCCATCTGCATTAAAATACAAAAACAAACGATGAATGTATTGTTTCAGAGTATATCAGTTTCTGTGTGCATTTTGTTTGTGTTTCATCCTAAAGTATATATTCTGTACACATTTTGGTATGTTCTTTGAGCTGTGAAGTATAATGCAAAATTTGAAGTGCAAGAAAACGGCAGTTTGAGTCTGAGATGTGAATCAAGTAAAAATCTTCAAGTCAAATGAAATCCTTGAACATCACTAACCATCCTTGAAAAGAAAAATGAAGTGTGTTTGAAGCTCCCATGTAATGCTAATGAAAAGGAGGCAGCTCAGATGAACAGGGCTTTTTTCAGTGAAAATCAGCCACTGACAAATCAGCAAAACGGACCCTGGGAGAGACAGAAGGAATAAGAAGTCAAAGCCCTCTACAGCTATTCAGCTTGACCATGCAAGGATGAAGACAAGGGGCACATGCACCACACTTGCCCACAGAAACCTCCCCTGCAATTTTTGCCTTCCAATGAGATGACATAATGCCTAAGAAGGGTTCAAGTTCCTGTTGCAGTAGTGCACAGCTTCCCAGTTTGGAAATTCATTTTCTGTGGTAGCTACTGATTTTATCTTTACCTTTGGCTCTGGTGCTGAGAAAGAAAGTGGGAAATGAAAGGTGAGAGGATCACCCACTGAAAAATATACAGTGGTGCCCCGCAAGACGAATGCCTCGCAAGACGGAAAAACCGCTAGACGAAAGGGTTTTCCGTTTTGGAGTTGCTTCGCAGGACGAATTCCCCTATGGGCTTGCTTCGCAAGACGAAAATGTCTTGCGAGTCTTGAGATTTTTTTTTCGCTTTCCCCCCCCTTTATCTAATCTGCTAAGCCTTTAATAGCCTTTAATAGCCTTTTAGCAGCTAATCCCCTAAGCCTTTAAGCCTTTAATAGCCGCTAAACCGCTAATAGCGCTAATCCGTTAAGCCGCTAATAGGGTTGCTTCGCAAGACGAAAAAACCGCTAGACGAAGACTCTCGCGGAACGGATTAATTTCGTCTTGCGAGGCACCACTGTATGTGCAAGGTTGGAGAATAATTTTTCTCTCAATACCCACGAAGTTTATATACTCTTCTCTCCTTCCCTTCCAACTGGTAGAGAAGGTTAGTAGTGTTAAGGATGCAATGGGGAAGAAATTGGATTATTCATCTGAAGTGAAGGCCAAATTAGCTACAAGTTTTGATGGGGAAGAGATTCAGTGAGTTTGCATTTTAACCAGACGTGCCTTATTTGCACTTGCTGAAACAATATGCGAACCAAAGCACAACTTTGAAATGTGCAGTTCTTTGAATTTTGTGATGATCTTATCCAACCAGGAAATTCGCGCAGACATACGTATATACTGTGCTCAAAATAGCATATATTTCTGGAAAATATACACTGCATGATAAAATGTGCATATTAGAAATGCACACTAAAATGCTGGCAATTTTTTTATGAAGACTCCTTTAAAAAAAGAAATACATTATGCCTGGCTGCATAAATGTGGCAACCTGATCCCAAGACTGGAAAAAATATGAAACTGAAAGAAACTATAGTTGACCATTTTCTCCATCCCCTGCCACAATAATTTCAAGGCCCTCTGGTTGTATCAGACAGACTTCAAGCTGTAAAGATTTAGTTTGCTTTCAAGGTTTTTAGGAGCTAGAGCTGCTTCCACTCAAAGGCTGACCTAAGGCACTTTTCTGCTGCCTTAGGTTGAGCATTAAAGTCCTCATCCCCGAGTCAACATGCAGAATACCCAAGGCCAGTCAAGTTACGCTGAAAGCTCCCCATCCTCTATGGCAGTACAAATATAATCATGATATCAAATGCAGCTGCCTGAAGCAGTTGCTTCACTATGTCTAATGCTAGGGCTGACCCTTCTCTAAAGCCTGGATTTTTACTCAAACCAATTTCATTTTTAAACAATGACCAGGCAAGTTCCCCAGTTAGTAGTCTTCCCCAGTGACTTGTAGATTGTTACAGTTTTCAGATTAATGAGCCTTGATATGACACAATTCTTGGCAATTAGATTTCAGCACAATCAATAAATCAACCCATGCAAGCTTTCCAAAGCAATATCCAACTATGTTACCTTTGTTTTAACATAAAGCATGAAGTCATATTAGACCATGATGCAGAAACAATTAGTGCACTGTTTTCATTTTTTAAAAAAGGAGATGATTGTTTAACTAGTGAACTGCTGTCTATCAGGTAGTTTCAGACCAAAGTAGAAACGATGTGGGAGATCATTAATTGTTTTAAATTTATACTCCTCTGAATCTTGTGAGACAATTCTCTAACCAAATAAATGCTTACAAAAATGCAAATATTCAGAGGAAATTGTTCACAAAACCCCATATATTACATAAAATACCATGCATGTCAGAGGAAATTGCTTGTAAAAATGTATTTGTCGGCAAAATTGCTTACAGAACTGTGCACAGGAAAAAAATGCATTAAACTGCTGGTGAATTTTCAAGAGGATTTTTTTTTTAAATGCAAACTGATGCAGAACACTTAATTTGAGCCTTGAAAAATGAGAAACTGGGTGGGGTGGATGACACTGACAGATGGTCCATTCTTAAACCACACCCACTATTGTTTCTGAAGGGGAAGAGGGAGCAAGGGGAGTTTGCCTACCCAATCTGTCCATGAGTATTCTGCCACCATGGAGTTGTATCTAATGTAAAGTTAAGTCATTACAAGGAGCTGCTGCTACTGCTTGAAGAGACAGCTGACAAGTTGTAGTAGCTAGAGTTAGAGGACCTGCTGTTGCAATCCTGTTATGATTAGATCAGTAACTTAGGGTGTCATAGGTGTAATGTGAAATAGTTTGTTTTTATGTCAGGTTGATGCAGAAGCTTGCATCTCATCCTAAGAACTAAAGCAGCAGATGATAGAATCAGGCTGTTATCAATGAAAATAAACATTTAAAAATCATTTCTTTAAAAAACTCTATTAGCCCATCATTGCATTGAACTATGGTTGTGCCATAATCACAAAGTAATTTCTGTGGCTGTCTGTTGGCTTCTCTGACCCTGTACTTGGCAAGGCTGGGTTTTTAAGCCCCAATTAGCCATTAAACAGCATTTTAGAAGACTTACCCTCTTAATGAAAGAAATGAACTGGTAGTGCATTGAAATGGCAAGATAATGTGGAGCTAAAATAGCAAGATAAAAAATGTTGTCACTGATAATGTACAATTTGCCCAATGATATCAACCGATAATGGAAGACTCAAGTGTTCCCATAATCAATCTGTTACTATCTCAAAGAATCAACAATTCAGCACATGAACTTGTCACAATCTTGCGGTCACGGCAACTATAATACATCACTTGAGTGATGCCTATGATGTTTGTGGGCTGGAAGGAAATAGGTTTTTGTATTGAAGGATGTGTTCAAATATAGAATGATATACTTTTCACCTTGGAGAACAAAGGAAGGGCAGAATACTTTATACATTATTCTTTTTTTCCCCCCTTATGGAAACTTTATTTAACCTTTGCATTTTCAATTCCAGAAGCCATTTGCATTAGCCCACGACTTTAGTGCTTATCTCCTCCCAATCAATACAAAATCAAGTGGCATAATTGTAGGACATTAGAAAATCAACAAGCTCAACAGGCTTGTGTTAAGTGATGTGCATTTGCTGCTGCAGCTAATACATTTCCTGCCCTTCAGAGACAAGGCAGGGGGATTTCAACCTTACTAATTGAATGGAATGTCTTGCACGCAATTTTGTTGCATTGCTTTCAAAGGCAGCCAATAATATTTGGTGCTAAGCATATTGTTTGCCATTGTTTGCTTTTAGGTTATTCAGACCATCAGTGCAGTGGACAAAGACAATTCTGTGGAGGACCATCATTTCTTCTACTATTTGAATGAGGAGGCCACAAACAGCTCTGGTTTTGCAGTCAAAGATAATCAAAGTAGGTATTGTGTGCACAGCCCTTGAAATATTTCTGCATAGAATTAATGCTCAATTTGCCACTTTAATTTTGAAACTTTCACTAGACCTGTTCAGACATTCACCTTCATGTGTTCTCAGAAATTGTGGAGGGAGGAACTAGTTGTGCATACCCTGTTTGTGCTGACTGCAGCCTTAGATCTTGAATCTAAAGATGGAATTTTCATGTGTTCATTTGAATGAACTTAGAATGAACTTAGAAAGCCCTTAGAAGCCTTTATGCAGCTGGAAACCCTGAGCAATTGTGGTTCCTGTTCACACAGAAAATTCTAAACACGTTCAGCTGAATGTGCAAAGTTTCTCCCTGCTGACCTTCCCACTCAGTTGCAATAGTAAGAGCCAGTGTGGTGTAGTGGTTAAGAGCAGTAGACTTGTAATCTGGTGAACTGGGTTTGTGTCTCCACTCCTCCACATGCAGCTGCTGGGTGACCTTGGGCTAGTCACACTTCTTTGAAGTCTCTCAGCCCCACTCACCTCACAGAGTGTTTGTTGTGGGAGGGAGGAAGGGAAAGGAGATTGTTAGGCGCTTTGAGACTCCTTCGGGTAATGATAAAGTGGGATATCAAATCCAAACTCTTCTCTTCTTCTACAATTGAGGGTGGAAATTTTTTTCACATGTAGACACTGGGGGGTGGGGGCAGTGCATGTGGTCCTCTCTCCATATGTTCTGAGAACTCTTGAAAGCTAACATCTGAGCAAGTCTATTGTTCATCCGGTAAATAGTACAAATTGTGGTGTATAGCTGAGAACCACTGTGGGCCACACAACGGCTTAATTTTCAGGATTTAGAATGCCAGGCTCAACTCAGAGCTCAGCTATGAACATCAATGATGTCATTCTCTTTTATTACCTCACAGGAATATTAATGAGATTAACTTGCTGTCTGTAAATTTCTTGCTGATATGGCTGGATAGTTATCCAATGAATAAAAACACACCACATACATAATTATATCCTAGTGTTTAGAACCTGGGCTGGTGTCTTCATCTAAAACGAATCTGCAGCATACTCTCACAGTTAATCATGTCAAAGTTGTCAGGAACAGTCCCTTTCAGTCATCCTGGTTTTGGTTTTACACCTGGATAATCAAGTGGTGTCTGTGCTTTGCTGTCCCTTTGGTCAGCTGAGGCTGCTGTACCAGCAGTGCACATACCTTAGGAAATTAAACCTGGTCTGTGTAATGCACTCCACATGGTATTACCTCTGTAGCTGTTGGTGAATACTAGCAAATAGGGTCACTTTGCACCAATACATCTGTACTATGTACCAGTTTGCTTACAGGCACAATTCGTAGAGATGGTGTTTACCGTTAAAGTCCTAAACAGCTTAGCCCAAGACAATTTAGGGAGCATCGCATCCCTTATTATCCTGCCCATTTCCTTTGATTAGAAGAAATGTCTCCTGTGGTAGAGGCATAGTCGGTGAGGATACAGCCTTCTCCAGACTGGTCCCATAATATGAAAAACCAATGAAGTGTAGTTCAATACTGTCCCACCCCACACTTGCTGCTTTTTGCAAGGCATCAAAGAAAGTTTTATTCTAGCAGTCTTTTAATTTTTGAAATAGGCAACACTTTTATGATTTTTTTTAAAAACAACAACTGATGATGCTGTCTATTTGAGGTTTTTAATGAAATTATAATTTTTATATGTTGCAAACTGTCCTGAGAGATGTATTTACACTAGAAGTATGGTGTATAAACACACTAAAAACAACACCACTCACACACACACATATATATATATATATTAAAATGAATAAGGATGTTTGTGATCATTGGTTATTTCATGTGTTGAGCAGAATAACTATAGAGTGCTGGAGCCATTTCCTTTTTTAAAATATGTTTTTACTGAGCTGTTGTAAAGCACAATACTGAAGACAGCATACTCAACAGTCAGGCACACATTCCACAAGACACAAATCTTAAATACTTGTCATCAGGCCAGGAAAGCATTGCTTTAGGAATTCTGCTATGTCTGCTGTTTCTGAAACCTTTATTAGGCAGTGATCTCATGATGTCATCCCCTCCCCAATTTAGCTATTTATAATTGAGCTACAGCTAATAAGCAAAAATTAATCTGGCATGCTTGGCTTTTATCTAATTATAAGAATGCAAATAAAATAACTCATAGATCAAATAAAATATTCTATTTAAGGTGCAGGAAGTTGATAAGTTATTGCTTCCAAGATTTTTCAGTTCCTGAATTCCTCCACCAAATGTGGAAGAAATTGGGTTTGTATTTATGGCATATCTATCATTTATCTTCTGACAAATTAATTACACCTCTTTTCCATATCTTAATGATAAAATATAGTGCTGCTTTTTGCTGAATGGGACATAGATCCCCACAAGCATTTCTACTATCATATTCAGTCTCCTCTTTTTCTTACTGTGTAGCTTGAGATCATTATAAGAGTTCTGCTGGATCAGAGCAAAGGCACATCCAGTCAAACATTCTGCTCACAGGAGGCAACCATATGCTTATAGGAAGCCTGCAAGCAGGACCTGAGTACAACAGTGTTCTTCTCAGTTGTGATTCCTAGGAACTGATACTCAGAGGCATATTGCCTCAAACAGTGGAGACAGAACACAGCCAACATGGCCGGTAACCATTGATGGCCTCCAACTCTATGAATTTTTCTACAGTTGTTTTAAAGTTGGTGGCTATCACTACCTCTTGGAGGAGCTAATGCAATGGTTTCACTATGCAACTTTCTTTTGTCTGTCTTGAATCTTCCAACATTCAGCTTCAATGGGTGGCCCTGAGTTCTACTATTAGAAAAACTTCTCTTGGCTTGCTTCTCCACACCATTACCTTAAGCCTTCCACACCCTGCTTGATCTTACCATCTGCAAGTCTCCTATCAAGGGTGGGTATATTTGCCCCCACCCAGGGACAGAATATTTTGTCCCTAATAACATTTGTGTTTAATTCTTGCCAGCTATAGTCACCTAAGTCTGTGTAATCTCACAGAGGTAAGGGACTATAGCCAGAGTCATATAGAAATTATAAGTCCTACCAGAGTCACTATTCTTGGTGTAAAAAAAAAAGCCTATTAAGCACTTACTCAAATAAGCAACTATCTGGGCAGTTGTAGCAGATTGTTAGGAATTGTTGACTTCTGATTTAGAGGGGGTGGGGGAGATGACTAAGGACTAAGGTGATGCTGAATTTCATGAGGTTTCTCCTCAAGGGTCCTTCTCTGCAGCAAATGAAACTGCATTCTGACTTAGAAAGCCTATAGAGAAGCAGCAAGGCAGATTGCAGCCTCTTTTATGCCAATAGTCCAGGGCACTGGGAGACTGCACACAGTTCAGTGGCAGCATCTTTAGCTTGGTTCTGGTGGGGTTGGTGGGAATGGTAGGGTTGTTTATAGAAAGTAAGGATAGCATGAGGAGAAAGAAGAGATGTTCCTCATCTTATAGTTGTTTGTTGTTTAGTCATTTAGTCGTGTCCGACTCTTCGTGACCCCGTGGACCAGAGCACTCCAGGCACTCCTGATTTCCACTGCCTCCCACAGTTTGGTCAAACTCATGTTAGTAGCTTCAAGAACACTGGCCAACCATCTCGTTCTCTGTCGTCCCCTTCGCCTTGTGCCCTCCATCTTTCCCAACATCAGGGTCTTTTCCAGGGAGTCTTCTCTTCTCATGAGGTGATCTCACAGTACTAGGAGTCAACCAATAAAATTGATTCAAAAGGAAGCACCGCTTCATACAATACATAACAAAATGTGCAGAATCAATGGTGAAATGGTGCACTATGACTACTAGCTTTGACAACGTTGCAAAATGTTAGATAAAATTAAGGATAGGGTGAACAGTAGCTGTTAGCCAGGACAAGTGGGCTCTACAACAAACTGTTGCAGAGTGGAGAGCTCCTGTTCTATAAAGTTCAGCCTTGCCCAACCCAGTGCCCTCCACATGTTTTGGACTCCAATTTCCATCAGGCCCAGCCAGCATAGCCACTGGTCAGAAATGATGGGGATTATAATCAGCAGTGGAGCAAATGCCTAGGGAGGCGTGCATACCCTATATCCAGGGGTGGGGCCAGCAGCCCGTGAGGGCAGGGCAAGTGGGAGCAGGGCACTCCACGGGGCCTCCAAGGTGTCTACCTTCCTCCTCATCCAACAGCTGAGGAGAAGGTGGTGGGCAGACCGTTTGGGGCAGCGCGGAGCCTGTGGGTGCCCAAGCCACTGCATCACTCACAGGAGAGATGTGTGGCTCAGGCAAACTGCAGGCCCCGCAGTGAGTGCCGCCTGGCATTTTGTCACCCCCCTCAGTGGTCAGCCCCTACCACACCCCCTTCCTCCACCCTGATTATAATCAAACAACACCTGGAGGGCACATGGTTGGGGAGGCTGATGTAGATGACATTTAAGTAGAACTTCCAAGTTCAGGGACAGTAAATCACTGAGGGTGGCCTAGTGCCTTCATGCTCTTCCTGATAAATATGGACTGGCTACTGCTGAAAACAGGAAGCTGGATTAGGTAGTAGGATACTAAATTCTTTCCCTCTTATGTAGAGCACCGCTGGCAGATTCTTATTCCAGCAGCTCTTTCACAGATCTGCAGATATAGTGCTCTGAAATAATAAAAAACCCTCAGAACAAAATCTCAAAAGCCAATTTTATCTCTTAATAATTGCTTTCTAAATATGGCAGATTGTAGGAGTAATAACTTCCCCATTATCTCTTAAACTGCCAAACACTGGTAGTATTAGAAAGGGGAAGAGCGTGCAAGGGAGAGAGCAGGTTTTTAAAATGAAGTGAAGATTTAATATTAATAAAAGCTTCTGCTTTGTATTTAGTTCTGCTAAAACACAGTTAAAGACAAAGGCACAGTTCACAATTATTTAACTTTGTTTCTTGTTCCCCCATTACACTGTTTTCATCGATAGACAGATGACATCATATGAATGACTTTTCTGTGCTGCGATGTTATGCAGCATTTGTATTGATCCCTTAGGCTGAGAAAGAATCGTAAAGGGGGGACACCAATCGAAACTAATCTGAGGGGAAAACCTAAGTTCAACAGCTGATGAAATTGCAGGAAAGGAGACCACTTAAAGGCAGCCTTCTGAGACTTAGAAGAAGAGCTATTTCAAATTCAACTAAAGTATACATTGCTCATATTGACTTTGCTAATTATTTGAATGTTCTGGCTAGGTGAATAAATCAATACAGCTAACTTTTGGAAAGTTCACTGTATTCTGAATAAGAAATTGCTTGGTTCAGATGCTGCCTGGCCCACAAAATATGTGGCCTTAGACTAACCACTGCCTCTCAGCCTCACACCACCCAGGTGCACATAATACGAGTCTACCTTATTGAGTTAGTACTGCAAGGGTTGCTGAGATTATGTAGGGATGATGATGATAGCGGTGCATCTGAACTATACAGATTTTAGCCAATGTGCAGCATAATCCTAAACACACTTATGAGGAGGCAAGCTCCACTGATCTGAGTGGGACTAAGTTGTCCCCTTAGCATCATGATTTCCAACTTTCTTCCCCCACACCTCTTTATCTGCACAAAATATGGCACAGTGTTTCTCATAAATAAGATATTCTAACTGAACATGAATTGTTGGACTTGGAAACCCATAAGCAATGTCATGAAACAAAATCATATTTTTTGTTATTATTTTTTAAAGATAATACAGCTAGAATTATCACCACACGAGGGGGATTTCATCGTCGAGAACAGTTTATTTTTACCTTACCAATCCTAATTGCTGACAACGGAAGTCCACCCCTCACCGGCACAAACACTTTGACCATCACTGTGTGCGATTGTGACCACGAACCTAGTCTCCAGTCATGCAGATATGGAGCAATGCTCTTCTCAATGGGCATCAGTGTACAAGCTTTAGTTGCTGTTGTAGCTTGCCTACTAATAATATTAGGTAAGAAAAACAATCCTTTCTTCATTTCATATTATGTCTTCTTGGTTCCATGGATTTGTTGCCCAGATCATGGTCTGTATTACCCAAATTAAAACCTGACAGAACTCATATATGAGTCAATGGCACCCTTTTTTTAGACCGAGGACCATACAGTGGTACCTCAGGTTTTGAATGTCTCCGTTGATGAACATTTCAGTTTTTGAATGCCGTATACCCAGAAGTAAATGCTTCAGTTTTTGAACACACCTCAGAAGTTGAATGTGCCACGCAGCTTCCACTGAGTACAAGATCCTGAGGCCTAGCTGTTGGCTATTGAGTTTTCGGTTTTCGAACATTTCAGAAACTTCCGGAATAGATTATGTTAAAAAACCGAGGTACCACTGTATTCACTTCTGGGCAATCTCCTTAGAGCAAGATGCCAGTGGTGGACAAGGCCAGAGGCAAAAATAGCCCAGAGGAATGAATGTAACTTTTATCATTGTATAATAGGCTAGTTTCTACACACATGCACAGAAATACATCCTCACTATCCTTTTCCAGACAAGGAAGAGAGATGATTAGAATTAAAGAATGCATTATAGCCAGACAGCTGGTGTACAAAGTAGAACCAGTGAGGGGTGTGGGCTGATGAGATAACGCATAGCCTGGGGAGAGTTCCAAGGTCCAGATAGACGTGCCTGGAGGACTACACTTGACTCCCAGCCCTGAGTTTCCCTTACCCTAATTTTCAACACCTTCATGGTGATTATATACTGGACGCAACCTGTGCTTTTGTATCTGTGACAGTACTCACTGGTACAGGGTGCCATCATCACTTTCCTTTGCTACTATGACAACGATTTTGTGCTGGTGCATATAGCACTTTTATCAAGATATGAGTACCAACACCTCAATTTTTTAAAAAACTAAAAAAGCACCAGACACAAAACCCCATTTACAATAACTCATAGACCCCATTTATCTACCCCAGTTCTATAGACATATATGTGCTCATAATACTACCATGCTCATGATCCACACTCTTCCTATCTCACCCATGAAACCAGAGTCTATAAAACTGGTCACACTGCAGTAGCATCAAGATTAGTAAAAATTGTGTGTGTGTGTGTGTGTGTGTGTGTGTGAATTTCTCAAGTATTTCACCAGCACCACGCTTTTATTTGTTTGCTTGGCAGTTTTTATTCTAGCAATTGTGGCCTTGAAGCAGCAGACAAAGCAATCTCTATTTCACAAGAAAGGAGGAGAAGCATTCAGAGAAAACATTGTGAAGTATGACGATGAAGGAGGTGGGGAGCAGGACACGGAGGCTTTTGATATTTCAGCCCTGAGGAACCAAACTGTCCTCAGAGAACACAAACCTCGAAGAAATATCACAACACAGATCCAGAGCCTTTACAGGCAATCTCTGCAGGTTGGCCCCGAGAGTGCTGTTTTCCGGGAATTCATTACAATGAAGTTAGAAGAAGCCAACTCTGATCCCGATGTTCCCCCTTATGATTCCCTTCAGATATATGCTTTTGAAGGTACTGGGTCAGTGGCTGGATCGCTTAGCTCCCTGGGATCAAGTTCTTCTGAACAGGATGAAAGTTATGACTATGTTCCTGAACTGGGATCTCGCTTCAAGTATGTAAGAAGCCCCTGGGGCTCTGCAAAGAGGGCAAAGCCATAGACACTGCTAATGGGAAAGTCCAGCAGACATGACTGTGGCAATAGTTACAAAAGACTGCAACTCTCTTATTGTATCAAAGAAAGTTGGAAATATCAACACAGATGGCAAAGCCAAGCCGTTTTGAAATACAGCACAAGTCTTATTATTTAAATTGTATTTTTGGCATATGGTTGTTAGAAATATATTTGTGTACTGGCAGCATCTTGCAGAAACGATGCTAGAATAAAGGCTACCCACCTTCCCTTCAAAAATGGAAGATTCTGATATAAGCAAATTGTGAGTTGGTGCACCTGTTGTTGAGACATTATTTTCTGTGCACAGGGATATTGCATTTGAAAAGACATCCTTGCTTAAAATGATCATCTCAGATTATCAGTATGTGCTATTTTTTCCTCTTCAGAAAAAGACATTCAACATTACAAGTACAGAAAAACTTAATTTTCTTTCAGTATTCTGTGCAGTTTAAGCTTTTCAGGTATTTACAAAGTTCTGCTGGCTACAATTTAATAATCACAATCAAAAATGTATATGTATTTCATACAGTATGGAATTTTGTACAGTTTATAGTGAATACAGAAACACCTGAACTCTTGGAGAGAAAGAAAAAAAACTAGTGTGTTTCACTGCCAATTCTAGAATTATCTAGAGAAATCTGAAACTCGGTTGTGACAGACATTTTATTTTTCACATTTTTCTCTCTCTGATACTTTCACCTACATTTCCTCAGACAAATTAATAGGTGCACATAATTTGTGATTTGTCTTTGTTGTGGCTGTACATATACTTTACTCTCAGCAAAAGTATTTATTTTGAAATAGCAAATTGAAATAAATCTAATTTATCTGCGTTAAAACATAGATCTCTGTAACAGCCGGTATCTATTCATAATTAAGTGTGACTTCTTGTGAAACTCCTAATTAATTTTCTCACTGGCAGAACCTGAAAAAGTAAAAAATATAGCAGGTTCAAGTGTGAATCAATATTCAACTTAACTATGGTAATCAAGCATGTTGCAAAAAACCAAATACTATTCACATCTGGGCATTTTCCCTTTTTATTAAGAGCTTAAAAAATGACTGATTTCCCAGCACAGATTTATTTTTTTTTATTATGGAATATAAAATTAGCTGCAGCACTCAATTTTATTGTCACAGTATTAAAGATCTTTAAAATGCTAAGCTGGTGGACATAAAACTTTATGTATAACATTAGATAATAAGATAGTAAAACACTTTAATGTTAATCCAGCTCTTCAGAAAATGATCCCATTCCATTTCATCTTTCAGGAATAGAGTCAGTCTTCCAAATTAAATTCCCCTGCTGTATTTTTGTTTGCACAATCTACAGCCAGTATAAAATTGGCTCAGAACTATTATTCTCTGTCACTTTATCCATCTGGCTGATCAGCACAAAATGTAGTGATCTAAAAGCCATCAAATGCATTCAAATGGCATCCGGTGCAAAGAGAGCCCTGCCTCTTATTTATTTACCATGTTTCTATTAGGTGTTTATTTTATGGCCTCCGCGTCGTGTAATCAATTGAAACATTTCAATACCCGAAAGCTGGCATTGTGATAAGGAAAACAAGTCCATCAGCTACTTTGTTTTTAAGAACAAAAGCAAAAGAAACACCAGACAGGAAATCTCAAATGAATTACCATTGAGGCAAAAATGGAGAAGCAAAAAGCAAACGGAATTGCAAATATCAGTGTTTGTACTATTATACTTGCTTGTTAGACAGAAACAGAAACCTGAAGAGTATAGGCTAAGTGGAAAGCTGCTGATAAAGGGACAATTTGCCTGCCATCTTAACTATAGTGTAGTAGAATTGGTAAGAGACAATATTGGTAATTTAATTCAATCTTTATTTAAAACAAAATAACCTTCACTTAAAGCGTCTCTGACAGTTTTGTACCCAGGCTTCCTCTGCAAATCCTCCACAGCCCCTTTCCGCCAATTTGTTCTATAGCTTGAGTTTCTTAGGGCCAAAATTAGTTGTTCTGTGACTGGATCTCACCAAGTAATGTTCTAGAACTTTCCTGAAGGCTGTGTAGGGTTTTGTTTTGTTTTCTCTTTTGCAGGGGGTAGAGGAGAATGAATATTCATGTGAAGGTGGAGAGAGAGAGAGAGAGAGATATCTTTCCACCCACATAATTTTTTCTCCTGTAAAGCATATGAAGGGAGCAAGAGAAATGAGCTATTATGCATCCCTCTTTTTGACTAACAACGGTGTGAGGAAGTCATATGGATAAGGAAAGTATTCAACTCTCCTTCCCCATACTGCAGTCCTGACCTAAATCCTTTTCTCAACAGTTCCTATTTGAATAATAGAACTGCATAGGTACAGTAAGAGGTAAAGGTAAAGGGACCCCTGACCATTAGGTCCAGTCGTGACCGACCCTGGGGTTGCGGCGCTCATCTCGCTTTATTGGCCGAGGGAGCCGGCGTACAGCTTCCGGGTCATGTGGCCAGCATGACTAAGCCGCTTCTGGCGAACCAGAGCAGCGCACGGAAACGCTGTTTACCTTCCTGCCAGAGCGGTACCTATTTATCTACTTGCACTTTGATGTGCTTTCGAACTGCTAGGTTGGCAGGAGCAGGGACCAAGCAACGGGAGCTCACCCCGTCGTGGGGATTCGAACCGCCAACCTTCTAATCGGAAGGTCCTAGGCTCTGTGGTTTAACCCACAGTGCCACCAATGTCCCTATAGGTACAGTACATCTAGTCATATGTCACCTATGTCAGGGGTGAATATCCTCTGACCCTCAGGTATGTCCAACTGCTCTGATGAAGAAGAAAAAAGCTCAACAACTTTGGCTCATCCTCCCTAAAAATAGCTCATCAATTTTGATGAAGCCTTCCCCAAAAAAAGCTCAACAACTATGAAGAAGTCTCCCCCCCGCCAAAAAAAAAGCTTAGCAACTCTGGTCAATCCAATGGGTAGATCACTGCCAGTTTATTTATAGTGGGAGTAGATCACAGTCTCTTGGAGGTTGGACGTGGCATAGATGATGTTTGACTACAGCTTCCATGATAACTGACCATCGGTCATGCTGGTTAGGGCTGATGGGAGCTGGAGTACAACAAAATCTGGAGAGCCTCAGTTAGCCACCTCTGCTGTCCATAATATCTACTGCAGTCCCCAGACAGGACAGTTCACCAGCAACTTTAGGTCAATTCACCCAGCCTGGAGATACTAAAGAGGTAAGTTTAAGTACTGGGTAGCCACAGACTCAATCTTTGCCCCACAATGAAAGTTGCTTAGTTGCTTAAAAGGTTTCAGGGATTTCTTACTCTCTCAGCCTAATCTACCTCATTTGGTTGTTATAATAATGAAATGAAATGAAATTTTATATACAGCGGTACCTTAGGTTAAGAACTTAATTCGTTCTGGAGGTCCGTTCTTAACCTGAAACTGTTCTTACCCTGAGGCACCACTTTAGCTAACGGGACCTCCCGCTGCCACCGCAGGATTTCTGTTCTCATCCTGAAGTAAAGTTCTTAACCTGAGGTACTACTACTGGTTAGGCAGAGTTTGTAACCTGAAGCATCTGTAACCCAAAGTACCACTGTATGTGTGTGCATGTGTAAAGTTAAAGGGACCCCTGACCATTACGTCCAGTCGCGAACAATTCTGGGGTTGCAGCGCTCATCTCGCTTTATTGGCCGAGGGAGCTGGCGTACAGCTTCCAGGTTATGTGGCCAGCATGACAAAGCTGCTTCTGGCAAACCAGAGCAGCGCATGGAAATGCCATTTACCTTCCCACTTCGTGCTTTCAAGCTGCTAGGTTGGCAGGAGCAGGGACCGAGCAACAGGAGCTCACCCTGTCACGGGGATTCAAACCACCGATCTTCTGATCGACAATCCCTAGGCTCTGTGCTTTAACCCACAGTGCCACCCACATCCCATATATATATATATATATATATATATATATATATATATATATGGCTTGAGGACATTTTCTGGGCTGTCTTGGAAGCCAGAATGTAGGACATAACAGCATGTGTACACCTTCTGCCTTTAGGGATCTGATGAAATATGAAATTCAGTGGATTTGATATTTGAAAGCACAGGCTATGCTGTTCTCCCTTTAGCTGGAGGATATAGAATAACAGCACACAAAACTCCATATAACATGGTACTTTGAGTTTTCAGGGCATGCATCCTCTTTTATGTGGAGGTGTCAAAGTAAAAGCAATGGACACTACAGATTGAGAGTTTCCTCACTACACTTCGTTAAATTACCTTTATGTGGTGTAGCACCAAGGAGTTCCTGAAGTTTTACAGATCTCCTTAAAAGTGAAGAATGAAACTTTGTCTCGGAGATACATAACTGGGAGTGAACGTGGCTACGAAAACTAAATATAGTTCTTCAATGCGCTTATTGGCAGAGACACGCAAGGATACCTGTGAGCACAGATGATAATCACCCACATTCCTCTCTCTTAAGTAAAGGAGGCTTTGTTCTTATTTCTTATAACAATAAGAGATCCATCTGTCATCCCACTTGATGTCCACATATTCAGTGAAATAGCTGAGACTGAGTGCATACAGTCAACATGTATGCATACAATCTAAATATTGAGGCCCTCCAGTTGATAAAAAATCCAGCACGGTCAGAATTCCTGATCACATGTAGCCTCTGTACAAGTACAGCTCTATGTGCATAGCTAACCCCTTTCAGACTAGGGAATGGATGAATAAATCTGCTTTCAATACATTTTCAGTCCTTTTTCTATGCCAATTGTAATTATTATTATTTTTTAAGTCCATATGAAAATGTCCATATGAAAACATGTATTCCAATGATATGCTTTCTCAAAGAAATAGATTTCTAAATGTGTTTTATCTAAAACTTAATTTAAAAATGTGTATATACTCTGTGTGTGTGTGTGTGTGTGTGTGTGTGTCAAAAACTGTGATTGAAATGCAATGTTTGGGAAGGGCGAAAGCCAGTGGATAACTAATTCAATTCTATACATTAATCCAGGTGGC